AAGAAATAGTTCCGATAGACACAACTGTGTTTCGTGATCAAAATATTGTGCATGATTTTTGACTATGTTCTCAGAAAGTGAAATATTCACCGAGCTAAAACTTCTACAGGTTAGGTTTTGATTTTGAGTGGTATTTTTATTGGGCACGAACAAAATGCATGAAAAGCAAAATTCCTATATGCCTCTAAAGCTATAGTCCATCATTTGTAATTAGTGCATTTTGTTCGTTTGAAGCAACAAAAGTGTTCAAAATCTAATGAAGGATACTGAACAACTTACTTGATGAAGTTTAAGCTCAGCTTCAGCTTCATTTTCCAAGAAAAACAGCATTCTAGGATCTCAATTTAAAATCAAAAGTTGCTAAATCATGTTTCGAATTGTTTTGAATTGCAGCTTTACGCGATGTCGCGCACTGATCCGACGAATTATAGCAACCGCGCGCGCCTGTGCGTCGTACCAATGCTTGTGCGCGCTGCGCCGAATAACAAAACGAACAACTAATTTAAATTTTCCTACGGTGCTTCTTAAGAAGCACCGTTGGAAATGCCTTCTTTCGTTGATTTCTTCAAAATGAGAGCTTGCCAGAAAGGATAATTTCACAGAGAGTTTAGTCCCCTTACTATCTTTCAACCAGTATGTTTTTCAACAATAATTACGCCAGTTGCTTTTTTGGATAGCTGCAAATGATGGACTCGGGCTTTAAAGGGACTTTACTGGTCACAGTCACAGTGACCACTCTGTACACGATGCACTGGTCACCATAGCAATGTGTGAAGTATATGTATGATAATCCTCGGGATCTCTAGCTTCTAAGAGGGATATACTTTTCTTAGAGGAAGAAGAAGAAGAAGTAGAAGTATTTGCATTTTGAATCTCTTTTTCCATTTCTGTACACCTTTTTGCAGATAATCTTGCGCAAGAGTTTTCCAGAGACACTTATAGCTATAAAGTGGTGATCACGCACACGTGTTTCGATTTGACACTAAGTGCTCCAAAACTAATTCAAAAACTAATACTCACAATAAAAGGAGGAATTAAAATAAAACTGTTATCAGTCGAAATGCATTGTTTAATGTTCTTTGACCTACATGATCCAGGGTACATTTCAAGGCCCCTTTGAAATACAGGAAGTCCTTACTTGTTTGACATGCGTCAACGGATGTATATTTTGGATCGTTTTTCCTTTCTGTCCATTTAATTTTTTTTGCAGATGATTAGAAGTTTTCTAAAGACTCTTCTGGTTGTATGGTGTCACGCCACATCTTTCGATTAAGATCTGTTTGGCATTCAGTGTAAGGAAATCGATCCCACACTAAGAATCCTGGTTATTTCGTATACACAAAAAGGAGAAACTGTAATAAAAAAGATGTTAAGCGTCAATTTGTACTTGTTAATGATCCAGGGTAAATATAGGTGGGGTCCACTGGATAGTCCGAAGGTTCATCGCTCCGATCGTTTGATAGTCCGAACAAACACATTTTCCATACACGGGGTTCATTAGTCCGAAAATGAAATAAGGTTGCTTTATCCGAACATTTGGTGCGATAGTCCGAAGGCTTACGAACCTTCGGACAGGTTTACGAACCTTCGGACAAATGAGGTAACCAAACATTCAGGCCCCGTACAATACAGAAATTGCCCATTTGGTTGACATTTAACCTGTTATTAGGCCGAATAAATTTTTAATTTTTTCCAAGATGGTCGCCCTTTTAAAATTTCCTGCAACTGTTGGCATTTACAGTGTCATTTAGAGTTGTATTGGTCTATAATAAACAGTATTTGCTTTAACTGCCGATTTTTTTGGTGTTTTTTTCACTGCATTTTTTCAAAAAAGAATAATAATACAAATCCAGGCGGCCTCCAAAAAGGAAGCGAGCGGGGATGAGAAACATTTTTTTTTTTTTTTTACTTCGCCTTTTGTTTTCTCTATATCTGCGGATATTTCACTGATTAAATAACGACTGCACTCTGAGAAAATCTTTCCCCGTTTATTTTATGAAAACCGTTGTATAACTGATTGTAGTGCTAATCTTATTGTACAACTTTAACAAGTTGCCCAATTTTTTCTTATCAAAACAAAAATGCATCATTATTGTATTGTACTTATGAAAAACAGTACTCAAATTTGCTATAATCATCAGCAGAAATGTCGCGTCAACAAAGTGGGGAGGCAAGGGAGGGGGTTAGAAAATTCGAAAAGTGGACAGGGATAAATTATATCCCCGTGTGTGTATGGGGTGGGGTGCATGGAAAGGAGGACTACTAGCTTGGACGATTTTTGACAGCAAAGTGAAATATTCACTGAGCTAAATCTTCTACAAGTTGGGTTTTGAACATTATTCTTGTGATTTTTCTGTCGCGTGTTGTAGTAGGCCTACAACCAATTAATGATGTATAAAAATCATGGATTCATTGCGCTCTAGGTCTTTGTTTCTTGGGTATGATCAATTTACAAATTTCGATCAGGGTCAATATCCTGGTTATTTTGTACCACCCGCCTCATAACTTACTAAAGAAGAGGAAATTAAATACAGATATCATCGATGAATGCACTTGTTGATGGTCGTTGACGTAAATGATCGAGGGCACCGTCCGAGTCTATGGGTACATCACTAGGTACCAGTAAAAGACAAGAAGTCTTTATTTGGTGGACATGTTAATGTTATACCTCTGAAGTTTTCTTTGAGTTGAAACTTCCTGTGGTCCTACACTGAAAAAACCCCCCCAAAAAACACGACTTAACGACGTGCGTAATTGTGAGAACATCACACTATGGGCCAATCTAATTTCATTAAAAAAAAGATCATAAGTTTAAATGATTTCTTTTTTAATGCAGTATTTATTTCACAAGCTACATAATGTTAGTTGAGCAAATTATATATAACAAGAAAACTGTGGGTTTTATTAATGGGTACATGTCATCGAATCACATGGAAACTCCTCTGGTTTTGACAACATAATTAATAATGCTTTTGAAGGCTAACATGATCATTTGCATTTATCAAAAGAGTTGCTTACCGAATTATTATCAAATAATTACTTGGATTACAGATCGTACTGGTACTAAACATGTCCTGAAACTAGTCCGTCATGCTTGTTGTCACTAAGAACAAGTCAAGAAATGTAGGCAATTTCCAAGGATCAGTCGATTGACTGATTTTATTAAAATAAATAGTTCCGATAGACACAACTGCGTTTCGTGATCAAAACATTGTGAATGATTTTTGACTGTGTTCTCAGAATGCACGTGTTTCGATTTAACACTAAGTGCTCCAAAACTAATTCAAAAACTAATACTTACAAAAAAGGAGGAAATAAAATAAAACTGTTATCAGTCGAAATGCATTGTTCAATGTTCTTTGACCTACATGATCCAGGGTACATCTCAAGGCCCCTTTGAAACACAGGAAGTCTTTACTTAATAGACATGCGTCAACGGATGTATATTTTGGATCGTTTTTCCTTTCTGTCCATTTAATTCTTTTTGCAGATGATTAGAAGTTTTCTAAATACACTTTTGGTTGTGTGGTGATCACGCCGTATCTTCGATAAAGATCTGCTTGACATCCACGGTAAGGAAATCGATCTCTCGCTCAGAATCCTGGTTATTTCGTATAGTTTCTCTTATGGCTTACATGCGGCCTTCCCAAAAGAAATTCCATGCCAACCATGCCAACTGACTATATTATTAAATATATATATTATAATCGCACCATTCCCTAGACTTAGAGTAAATACATGAATTACAAAAGTAAAAATATTAATTTTCCCAAGCTGAGCGAGCTGAAATAGAATCAGACAAACAAACAAGATTCCCTCGTAAATATTTGTAAACGGGTCAGTAGCGCAATATTTATAATAAGAAGAAGGGCCGGATTATTATAACCTTGCTAGAATTTACTCCAGCAGAGCGTGGATGCCATTTGCCTGCCGGACGAAGGTCGCACGACGCGAACAACTGAGACAGAATATGGGGCGAGCATGGTAAGGTTCATTGCTCGTAGTGACTCTGAATTATAGTCAGTCAACTGCTGCATATAAGAATGAATGTAGACAAGAGTTACGTTACGAATAGCCCGATGCATCTTTTGCCCAGCTAAGAAAAACAAATTAATAGCCTAGTGGTTAAGCAGTGGACCCACGGTAAGGGGTTCGAATCCAGTTGGTGTCATTTTTTTGGTTTTCAGCGCAGGTGGTTTTGTCATTTAATTTAAGAGTTTTAATATCCCGTCGTCAATTACCAACAGCAGTTAGCTCGGTCGGTCGGTATTGAAGCTGACTCACAAGTTGGGACTGTCTGCGAAGTCCAGGTTGACATCTGCGTACAGGTACGGGGTTCTTTTGCTGGCTCGGCAGCAAGGCTTAGAGTGCCACCTCGTTTCCTGGCTTTATGATGCCTGACTTTCGAGTTACATGGATGGACAGAGAAGGGGGTGTGGTGGGCCGGGTACCGAGTCCCGGAAGAGTTCTATATTGGAAGTCGGTAAGGGGCTCATTGAGTTAGAGTCATAAGTCCGACTCCTGATGACTTGGCCATCGCCACATAACTTTTTATTTTATCTTTTTTCTATCCGAGGACAATTGCAAAAATGTTTAATTTGTTATATTGAGAGCTCGAAATGTAATCGTTCGAAAATAATTTTAAAAATTGCTCGAAAAAAACAAAAATAATGCATAACAAAAAACAATCAAAATAAATCAAACCAGCTATGATGTCTTGTACGAATGAAAAAGCAGCCCGTTTAACTTTTTTGGCAAATGAAATCATTGCAATAAAGATTTGGCCCCGACGACACGGAATGCCTAAACATTTGTTACATGTATTACCCCAGCAAGTTCCGTATATCACCACTATCACTAGACAATTCGTCATGATATAGAAACTTAAATGTCCCTATCTGATCAGAAGAAAAAGTAATGATTTTAGGGTGATGGCGGTTCGTCGTGATGATGCCCTCTCGCGGCGGCGGGTTATTGCGAATCCAATATGCACAACAATGTTTTAGCCTAAGACTTAAAGAAATGTGACACAATCGAGCGTCGCGCGCAAATCGTCGCAACTTAATTTGGTATCATAATGTTGGTAAAATACTGTGCTGTAAGAAAATGTAGAAATTAAGGCGGAAATCTGCGTCAATCTAAAGCGTATTTTCCACGTTGCTGGAAAAAACTTTCTAATTTGAAGTTAATTTTGATACAGCTCGGCAAGCAAACGGAATGCGACTGGCCACAGATTTTTTGAAAGGGAAATAAAGTATGTGAACCATTCGGTTGGCAGCCTGGTTCCAAGCAGTGCCAAAGATGCTGGCGTTTAATATCGTTAACAGGTCGGGAAACCACACGGTCCATCCACTGCAAGTGAACGATGGCAATAGCGAAACATAACATTTTTTTTTTAAAGCCTGTACCATTTTTCAGAAAAACAAATCATGAATTAAGAGGGTTCATAATCATCATTATGTTATCTACCACATATTAAACTAGTAGAAAGTCACCACCATGGGATTGAGTTGCAAGGCAACCAATGCCACATATGCAGAAGTGGTAATGGGGCGAAGTGGTTATTTTCCGATCTGGGCTATTACGCGGCCCAACGTTACCGTTAAAAAGGAAGGCAAAACACTTGAGTAGTCTATCCAAGCAAATTACCCAAGAAAACCTTCAACAAGTGTGCCATGCATTTTCAAAACGGGAGGTACTTGAACAGACACACTACGGACTAGCTTTAATAGCTAGCACTGTAGCATCGCACGATCATTGACATTGTCAAACAATAGTTGGCGCTATTCAGAACGACAAATTTGCCGATGGACCGTAAGTTAGGTTATGGAAAGGATCACAAAGACCAAACCTCAAAAAGCTTTTAACAGTCTGAATAACAAAACTATGTAAACTAATTTCAAATTGTTAGGGTGACATATATGTACAGCTCGCTACTCATAATGTCCACCTACTTCTATATATATTTTTCAGGGCTATAAGAATCTATCTGCCAAGGTTGGACCAGTCAGTCACGATTCCGATCATATGCAACCTGACTATACTACTGATCCGTCTAGATTTGTATATTCGATAGAAACTAAAATTAATTATGTACGTTTCAACATTTTAAAGAATGTAATGATAAAAAATGGACTAAAGATAAATTAAGGTGTCTTTTTACAGAAACATTAGTGAGTTATGAATTTTAACTTTAGAGTTTAGTAAACATTGAGACCAATACATTTTTAATTTTGGAACTCAATGAACTATTTTTTTTGGTATATTTATAGCTGTACAAACAGGAATATCAGAGTCGACTTCTCCATGATGTAATGCGGGTACTGCTGGATCTGCAGCTTTTCTCTTATGATTATGAGTCTCGAAATGGGATTCTGGGAAGAGCCTAGAATCAGACCAACTGGGAAATCACATATCGTGAGACAAATTCGATTAAAAGACGCTCCGACTGATAAAGTTATCTCGTTCACAGAAATTACTTTAGTCAACAAAAATGTGGACCCTTTAAAAGCCACTGCAGTAACCATGCTGATGTGTGCAACGATACAAACTTTAGTATCTTTTTTTTTCTCGCTGAACATGTTTGTAAGACAGTCTTTTACACTTGAGTTATCTGAAGACGCTCTTATTGACGTAATCCGGGCGAGCGCCATTGGTGGCTGTTGCGCTGTCTTCGCTGGTTCCCACGTCGGTGCACGGGCCGTCCACGCCAAACGATGTTTCCATCTGAATGGGCACCAGGTAGCTGTCATCCTGTGCACCGGATGCTTCGCCGTGTTCGCCCGGCCCTTGCCCTCCCACACCTGTCCACGTGTCATGAGCGCGACGTCTAGCCAACAGATCGTCCAGCTCGTTGACAATTTGGCTGAAGGTGCACCGGGACTTGGGGTTGTCCTGCCAGCAACGTTCCATTATCCGGTAGCTGTATCATTCGAGGGAAAGAAAAAGAGATTTATCAGTCATCATCCGATAGGTCCGGGGTAAAATTTGTCTTTTTATAGGACATTTGAATTTGACATTATTTGAAAGGTATATCAATTGTGTTAGTTCCCATTGTTATTTTGATTTTCCATATGCATTGCGAGGGGACCACTCCCCCAGGAAAAGAAAATCGCTTCTCATCGCCTCTGATGTACCCCCTCCCTCTAGACACATCCTGACGAAGATGATAAAACAATCCACGTCACTTTTTGATCATGTGTATGGTAGGAGATGACTTCAACTTACACCTGTGGCGGGCAGTCCTTAGGGGCATCCATCCGTTGGCCGCTCCTCAAGATGTCAAACACATCTTTGTTGGCAACTCCAGGATAGGGTCTTTCACCTCTGCTAAATATCTCCCACAGGACCACGCCGTATGACCACTACAAAAAAAAGAGAGAGGAAAAGGCTATTCACGCTGGCTTTATAGCGAATGCTTGGCCATCCAGTTTGAAATAGTTACACGCATCTAATTTTCAGTTTAGCTATTGACACATCCAGGCAATAGAGAAACCATACACGCTACTGCATATAAAACGACTGCCATGTGACAGACGAGCTAAGTGAACAATAACTAGCATAATGCTTTCCCCGCGGAGAAGGATGTGATTCGAAATGTATTGACGTTAGTCTCCATGTTGCTATAATTAAAAAGAAGCACGTTTTTACAATCTTCAACTTTTTAATTGATGTGTGGAGTTACCAAATTCTTGGTTCTAAGATAAAATGGCTTTTCGCATACCGCGTCAGTTCTGGCGTTGTACACTCGACGTTCCATGGACTCGGGAGCCATCCATTTGATAGGCAGCTTAGCCTGGGCATCGCCGCTTGTGTAGTAATCCGATTCTTGCACGTCACGTGACAGTCCAAAATCCGCTATCTTCACCAGAAGATCACCATCCACCCTACACAGTATTTTTGACAAAAAAGGGGGATTAAAAAAAAAATGGAAATGTACCTCTGTCATTTCTGTTTTAGCCTCTGAAGAAGAACTTGCTAAGTTCGCAACGTCAGGCCACATTAATTTTTAGATTTATATATTTCAGGTCCACCCAGTCAGTAAGCAGTTTGCAGCAGTCTTACTTTTTTTCAAAAAAAATGGGATATTATTTTGGGTCATAACATTAAAAATAAAAGATGCCACTCATGATATGAGAAACTGAATGAAGTTTAAACTGCACACACTTTTCGATTTTCTTCTTTTACAACTGCTTTTTCATGTTTCACAAATGCGTAACCAATGTTTTATTGATTCTTTACAGAGACTATGATTGTGTTGACTCGGCAGAGTACTAAATATGTCTATTTTGTCTTGCAAATAGACCTAATGACTGCAACCATGTTAAAAATAAATTCTCACATGCAATTTCTGGCCGCAAGATCTCTGTGGACAAACTTGTGCTGAGCCAAATAACTCATACCGAGTGCGACATGTGACGCAAACCTCAACAGCAGAGATGTCGGCATGGACTAAAAACAACAGTAAAAGAAATAAGTCCATTGTTAAATGCATGGCATTATAAAGGGATATCAATATCAACGAATATCCCATTGGCCGTATTTTTGAACTTGAGGGCGGCGGGTTTTGACGTAATTTTACATGTTGTGACAATTCAAAAGTACTTTGTTCTTCTTTAACTGCATTGCTTCAATAAACGGGTTCTTTTCTGGCTTGTGTACTCGGGAAAAGGCGTTTTTACAAAGCCTCCATTCGTAAAGGGCCTGTCACATTATATGCGCTCTCATCGGAGACCTTACGGCGACCATTTTTTCCCCCATAAATTTAACAATCGCAGCGAGGGCGCCATAAAATGACAACTTTCTGTCTCAAAGAAGCTCAAGGTACGCTCATACTGTGCTCTTCCCGCGCTTACGATGCGTTCAACTCGCTCTATATGCGCCCCTGTCAAGCCCAATTACTCGATCTAGTCGCTGCCGCTGCGCTGTCACTGCGCTCACACTACGCTCTGCTCGCTGTTGACACGTCCTAGTAGCATGCGTCGCGCTCTCTATTCGACCAAAATACGCTCATGTGACGTCACTTGCACTGTATAAATACCACGACAAAACGGTCAATACAAAGTCCAGTTTAAAAAAATTATTCTACATGTCCATCGCAGTCGAGTTACTTTCTCATGAAGACTACGTCGACTGCCTTGCGCCTAAGCTGCTTCAATGCCATTTCAATGTCGCACGATTCACGCTCGCACAGCGCCCAGGTTGCGTCATTACTGCGCCCTGGCCAGAGCGCAGAGGTGTTGCGATTGTTTTGAGCATGTTCAAAGACCTTTGCGCTCATCGGAGACCATTAAGACCCTCTGGCGCCCATCTGGCGACCTATGTAGTTGTCGCTGCGATCTTGTAGTTGTTGTTGCGCCCCAGCTATTTTTCAAGGACGCAGTGAGAGCGCATATAAGATCGCAGACAGTGTGACAGGGCCTTAAACAAATGGCCTTTGGCTATTGGGAAATCGCCAAGAAAAGTAGTTCAGATCGTTTTCTTTTTAAAACTTTGGTCAACCCTATCATTCCATATTTTAGGTTAAGAAGCCAAGCCGACTGTCTTGCCATTGTTTTATAGCTTCTGTCCCAGACAAACGTAATTCCCGGGTATCGAATGTTTGAATCTACCTGCTCGGTACATGCTCGGGTTACGAATAAATGGTAGATAAATCCCAACTGTCTTCTACATTAATTGGTTTATTTTTTTAATACGGTACCTTTTTCTTTTTGATCATGAATTTCTTCAGGTCGCCATTTGCCATGAAGGGCAGAACCAACAGGGGGTTGTTATCTGTGTCAAAGGTCAACCCCAGTAGTCCCATCACGTTCACGTGGTCAAATCTTGTCATGATGAAACCTTCATCCAGAAACCTCACGACAAGTTTCGGGTCCGAGGTGTCTATATACAAAAAATAGATACGTTCATGATGCAACGTGTGGCACATCTTTATCCCTATACACATAGCCGGCGTCCCTACATTTCCGCGGGGCAACATGGAGATATTGGGAACCCCTTCATCAGTGGGAAAATAAATGAAATTTCAGAACACAGATAAAGATTTGTTTTCTTTCTTTTGCAACAAATGTTTCCATTTGTTGGCGATATTACATTTTTGTAACCAACCTTGCACTGTCTTAACTGCCACAAGTTGATCCTCTTTTGCTGGATCACGTAGGGTTGCTTGCAAAACGCGTCCAAATGCACCTACAGAATATGTCATTCAAATAAAAATACACCTCAAGGAAGGACAACATAAATTAATATTTTCTATTTCACTGGAAACTGGATTACGGGTCAAAGTGACCCATACATTACGTGTATTGTGAGGCTGTTTAATACACATCGAGTGGGACATCAAGATTTCGCGATGAGTGGAGTTGTTTTTATCATCATAGACTTCTACCTTGTCCGAGTGTTTCCCCAAATTCCAATTGGCTAAACTCGATGTGAATGTCGCGGGGAACGAAGCTGACCCTGTTATTCATTGCGATGCGCTTGTGTTTGGCCGCTGATCGCCGATGTGACGGTATCTGGGATCTCTCCGACCTTCCATGGCTGACGTTTGCTGAAATCTCTGAAAAACAAACACAACATAATCAATGTTCATGTACTGCATTTAAGGTTTTTTCATGGTGAAGGCTCGTCTATGTAATAGACCAATCGCAAATGCCATGGGTCTATGATATGTGAGCAGATTCGCTGATAATTAGGCATGACCCCGCCTCTTTACCTCCTAGATTTTGACCAATCAGCGGGCACTTTTTATATTGGGTCTTCGGTCATTCACCCGTTGCGCGTCATAGACAATGGATTAAAAAAAACCTGCGTCACGCGCTCTGTATCATGTTACGCGATAATGCGCCCGGCTGTTGTTGCATTACAAAACACTGCATTCGAATTGACCAATCAAACCATTTAATCCTGATTTAGGAATGAAATGCCGTCACGATTTAGTAAAGTCTACTCCGATTGGCTTGCGCGCGGCTTGCATATATGCGGATGTCTAGACATATCAGACGTTATACAGGAGTCTTGCTTCATGGATAACGGGTGATACTCAGACTAGGTAAAGGCGTGTTCGAACCCAAATGGGCGCGTTCTCTGGCAAGTTTTCCGTAAACTACAGCTTGTTTGCTAGTATCCGGCATCGTAAGGATAAGGGTGATTATTTGCAAGGAAGTGGCTACGGAACTGGTAACGGTCCCCAATTTCGCAAGGCTACGAGACCGGCAGCAATAACGCGCATGCATCAGTCGTTGGGAATTGGTTCCTAGGCAAAACTGGTTCTCGGATCGACTCTACAGAAGAAAGAAGCCTAGGCGAGGCTAAGTTAAACTTATTGTCCGAATTATTCGACGCTTCTGGTGTTTTTTTTTTTACCAAAACGTATCAAGCCATTACCGACGACTAAACAGTTTTTAATAACCCTGGGTGGAGTGACCTGATGCCCCTGGGGCATCAACAAACCAGATTTTTGGAAAAAAAAATTGAGGGCCAATGACGGTCACATCCTATCCAATCCTCATTCAACCCTTGCCAAATCAGCTGGTTCAATGAACTTTGCAGCCAGGGCTACACCCAGGCCGTGTCAACAAACTTTCGACCAGGCCTCCTGCCAAGTCTCATTGAAACATCAACAAAGACCTGTAACTTGACACAGCCATCTCCCTTCATAACTGCATACCTCAGCCGCCAGTCAATTATCTTTCCAGCGCTCTGTCTGGCAACTGTCTGGACACTGTCTGGCACGTGGCTTTTTGTTGTATTGCTATGAATAAGGTCTTGCGTAGTGCGGGAAAGTACCTGCTGCCCAGAGGGCCGCCGTTGACGAGTTGTTGTAAAAAAAAAATTGTAAACGCTGCGCAGGACACACCTTTAAAGTTGCACCACCACACAATGATTACCAAAGCATTCAATGTTCCCTGCCGGAAACGAATCCCCGAGATCCCCACAGGAAATCTTTAACCTATGGTTAATGCCACTGACCAATCAAGGTATGCTCTTACCGAGGTGCACCTCCAGTAACGTGTTCAACACTCTCTGTTCGTAGGTGCGCTTTCGACGCATTTGTTTGCAATACATGAGGCTAGCAGCGAGTACGATGGCCAGGGAGAAGGGGATAATCACGCTGGGTACAGCGATAGCGATGATGTGGTTGGCTGGTCGGCCGTAGATCACCTTCCCCAATTCAAATACCAAGTTGTTGTGTTGAACCTACGAAATATCAAAAGACCGACCAGTTAAATCTCTCGACGGGAGCATGCAGTACTCTAGAGTATTGTTGATCTAACAAACAGTCGTAATGTTTGTGTGTGCGTGTGTAAACACCGGCAATCGTGGACGTAGGACAAAAGAATTGGGGCGCAAACAATACGTCCACGATTGACCGAACGTCCACGATCTCAAATCGTGTACAAAACCAATGAGAGCTGTCGCTAAAAAGTTAGAGTACAAACAAAGGAAAGAGGATTAGGGACAATGGGGCGTCCACGATTGCCGGCATTTACACACGCGGGTGTGTGTGGGGGGGGGGGGGGACTGTGAGGTTAATCTTAATTATTTACCATGTAAATTATTAATCCATTCATTATCAAAGTATTTTGGAGGACTGAAATATAAGTAAATAGTTTCGCTTAAAAAGGTGAATTTGCTGCCGAGATATTTTTGGGTACACAATTCGTAATGCAGAAATCGAAACAATGCTCACCACAGCTGTGAGATCACCACTTTCATCTAAGCTAGTCGGCTGAACTTTGGGCAGCGTACATTGCAGAATCGTGCCGCTGATGTAAGTTACTTCACATAGGCCATTTCCTACATAGACGTTGATTTCTTTGGCTGTGATGGCGTAGTTTATCCTTTTCCCCTATGTAGAAAATATTAAAAATGTCAGTTACATATGCATCATGGAAATCGTTACCGTTACCAAAAGCTAGAAACCATCTTTTTATGGAGGCGTTCTTCAAAGCGGATAATATCGGACAATAAGTGGCGCTCCTCATGCCGGGATGTTTGACTTTAAAGGATGCGACTTTAAAAAGGGGCATTCGTAAAAAAAAAATCGTGAAAAAGAACAACCAAAATTTCCAATTGTGAGGTGACCAACTGGTAGACGACTTCCCCCCCCCCCATCCCAGAATGCCGTTGAAACCGGAGGATTCACCGCCCTGTCACTTATACACTACTGGTGGCAATTTGAAAAACTTACCAAGCATATTTACGAATCCAAACCTGGATACGCAACTGAAGGTGAGTTTGAAGAATGTCATCATTCCCAATATTGTAACTAACTAGCGTAGGAATATTTTCATCAGTGATCATTTCCTGTATTCGACTTAAAATGAGGCATATCATTCCAAATGTTTGCAAACCCGAGTACAAGATATTACCGTGAGTTCCAAAAGATTCCCGTTGGCCACGAACCCTTCCTCGTCGAACTGGAAGTACACGGGATCTTGGAAATACTCCAGCGTGACTCTCTTGGACTCGGACCAGGTAAGGAGCTGGGTCACACCGTCCATCACAAACCCAAACGGCACCTCGTTACATCGGTAAGGCCGGACATCCGGAGTTGGACATGCCATGCTTGTATCAGAATTGGTTCTGCATTTCTGTAGAAAATGATAACAAAAGTTCAAAAGGGTAACGAAAAACAGACTGCTACGCTTAAAGCCAGCAAAAGCAATCTATATATAATAGACGACAATGAATAAAAAAGAAAACGCGAAACGAAATTGATCACAATCGATTAAGGTAACAATATAACAAATTAATAAATACATCACATCTTATGTATTTCTTTGACCAATAGGGGCCTGATACGGGCCTATCAGCATTTAAGGCAAACAAAACAGAGGACTTTGAAATAGGGGGGGGGGGCAAGGCCCATTAGACTTACGTCCCATTGTTGCGGACAGGCAGACATTATTGATAATTATTATTACTAAAATTGTTATAATTTTTTTTGGGGGGTGGAGGTCGGGCGTCAGAGCGGGGGGGGGGGGGGGGGATTGACCGCCATCTAGATCCACACTTTATATTTTTTTAGTCATTTGTTGCAGACAATTTGTAGTAAACCCCTGCTTAATTTTATGATTTTTCTTCATGATACGGCTCAGGGATCAGGCAAAAAACAACAACATAGTTTTATAATGTTAGGAATAGTAAGGATGCAATAAATCACTGCGAATATATCTTTTATCAGATATAACCATGGTATAAGGCTGTGCACAACTTGCAATTACTTTGATTGGAAATGGTGAAATGGGCAATTCAGTCAGAGCAAAAGCCAATTTGCATCGGCGTCCGTACCTCTTTAAACTGTAACAAGGTGTTTTCGATGAGGCAGTAGGCCACAATCTTTGGTGTCTCTATGATGTGAAAGTCTTTCCCAGTTACCGTCAGATTTCTTCCACCTCTGTTTAAAACCAATGCATGTATTCAATTACAACAACATGTATCATTTCAGTGTAACTTCATGATAATAGCCCTAACATAAAATTAACATCCACAAGTTAACTCACTTTTCAGTGTACAACAGGAGATTTCACGTCCCACTCAACCGTAACCTTCTTTCGGACCTGATTTTGCAAACCTTCAAATCCTGCTTTATAATTGTTATCTTCGCCAATTCACTGAAATGGTTTCTGTCTTGTCAATGTTCGGAAGTCGCTAAAATTTGGTTCAGGAAGAGAAATGAATAAATAAATTTAAAAAAAACCGGAGGGGATAATTACGCTTCGATGCTGGTTAACGGTGAGACCTTTCTTATGACTGGGTCTGAGGCGAAGAAAAACCTCGACGTGGATGTTCTGTTGGCTCCGTCAAAGCTCAGTCTCAGAATGTCAATTGTACCTGCCACTGAGGGAGGCGTCAAGCACTGAATACCATCATCTCTGACGCTGGAAATAAAAAAAAGACATGTTAAAGCACCAAACTCCCTTAAAATATGTAAACAGGGCAATAACGTCATTATGTCTCAGGTCTTTAAGTTGGAACATAAAACCTGACCAACTGACACGGAATCCGATGGTTTCGGACACAACTTCGTATTAAGATTCGCAAAGTAGGAGCCAGGAAAAGATTTTTTTTTAATTGGTAAAGTCATGTTCGCTCATTGGCGAATGAACAGTGTGCTCATTATGTTTTTATTCTGGAATCCAAGGTCATTCACGATTTAAAATTAGCAAAAAAGTACAAATACTGAACATGTAAAGGCTTAAATATTGTTCTTATGACCACCGATGGCCTACCTGATAACTACACATGGTTTGTCTCCAAAATATGCTTCAATGTTCCTGCCTGCCTGTAAAGCTGTTCCGCTGACTGTGACTAGGGTCCCTCCCGCCTCGGGGCCAATGGTAGGGGAAAAGTTGGAAATGCGTGGATCCTTCACGGGTAAAAAACAAAAGAAATTATACCTAAATTCTCCCATGTAAACATAATCAACATTAATAGCTAAATTATTTCTCCAAACAGAACAATGCCATGGTTGAAAACAGTGTTGTAGTGGAGTACCAAAACTCGAGTACCAAGTTTTCCGAGTACACACAGTGCCGAGTACGGGCCGAGTCCGAGTACTTTTTAGTCGAGTCCTGGGCCAAAAATCCGAATTCGAGTTTTTCAAAGTCCGAGTACAGGCTGAGTACAAGTACAAAGATATCGAGTACATCCCGAGTACATTTTTAAACTAAAGCATTATGGAAATTAGCACCGTTACTTACATGTGATATGTAAAGTAATTACCCAGTATTCCAAGAAATTAACATGAACACAAAATATTAAAAAGTGTTGTTTTTGCTTAAAATTCTTGATTGATTGACGATCTTCCTCATTCTGAAGGTTAGGACAAGAGTCGGTTTTGCAATGCTTGTAAGTACCTTTTCATTTTGTGTTCCCTATTTTACTTGGTTCAGCACAAACACCTATTTATTTGCAAAGTCTCAAAAATAAAATTGCAGACAGAAAAGTACAAACTATAGGCGTACTTCAGTAAAATTCAGTGATATCTGTTGACCAGACCACCTTTACTTGCATAATCAAAATGTTAATGCATCATCATGGTAATAGTCATATGAAGTGTTGTTGCACGAAAAGAAGTTTAATTCTCTTAGATGTTTTATTGATGACTTGACTTGCATACTGCGCTGTGCTGCTTCTGTCCGTTAGCGAAATATTCCTTGTGATCTTTAAACCCCCAAAATATAATTTCTGCCGAAGAAGACATGTCTATGTCGAAATCGAACTCGCCGCCATGCGCCAGAGAATGTTTTATTGATGACTTGACTTGCATACTGCGCTGTGCTGCTTCTGTCCGTTAGCGAAATATTCCTTGTGATCTTTAAACCCCCAAAATATAATTTCTGCCGAAGAAGACATGTCTTTGTCGAAATCGAACTCGCCGCCATGCGCCAGAGAATGTGACGCGTTTCCAACAAAGAGTGATGTGCACAACCTCTTCCCCACGGATACGATCTTTCCTCACCTTGTTTGTTTGAAAATGCCTCGTGTGATGAACGCACATGCAGCCCATGGTAAGAAGGTTGCGATTTATTTCGCTGTTATTCTTGTAGTCTTCAGTAGGTATAGGACAGTAAAAAATGTGCACCAGCGATACTGCGAGCGCTGTCAATACCCATTCACGAATACTAGATTTAGAGTCGATAAAGAATACAGCGCAATACTTTCATCATTTTCATATACACTCCGTATGGTCAAAGTTAGGTATCGAAAAAATAGTATCGAAAAAATCCGAAATTTCTTTCGAGTACTGCGCGACTGGGATCAAGTTCACTGAGTACAATTTTTCGAGTTAAGGGACGAGTCCGAGTAAAAAATTACGAGTAGGTGCCGAGTAGGCCTACTTGCTTTTTTCGAGTACTTTTGATCGAGTACGGGCCAAGTACTTATCGGTACTCGAGTTGTACTCGAGTTCGAGTTCGAGTACGAATACTCCAACACTGGTTGAAAAGCAGAAGTTCATAATTCATGAGGACTCTACTCGGACTGAACTCCATCAAAGTAATCAAATGCAGAATTATCCCCCCCCCCAAAAAAAAAAAACAACGCAGAGGCAAACGAAGGAGCAGAAAAATTGCAGCTTTCAATTCACTTCTTCACTCATAGAGTTTCATCCTGCTTTGCAATGCCATCGACGAGAAGTTTCAACCATTATCCGTGATGTATTCTTTTCCAGTTACTCTCCAACAGTACGACTTGATATTAAAATGTTCCTATATGTGGAACCAACTTGTTTAGACTAAGTCATGTTTTAAAAATACTACAAGTGGAACTTGCGCGATCCCCCTGGCATGCTGGCAGTTTTTATACAGTCAGTTAGTACGTATATACACTTGTCTATGTACCTAACCATATTCCTTCATATACTAATGGGGAAGACCTTTGTTATCCTTCCTTTGTTTCACTTTGTTCCTATTGAAATATTCTCAAACTCCATAGCGTTTCCCTTATGGGGTAGATTGATTTCAAAAGATAGGGAAAATAGAGCCTATTGTTCCATTGAGTTTCCTACCCCATAAGGAACCCTCCACTGCAAAAACTGCAGTGTTAAATTTACACTATTGGTATCTATATAGGACCATCTGGTGTTAAATTGTACTGGTGTTGTCCTATATAGATACCAAATGGTGTTAAATTAACACTACAGTTTTTGCAGTGTGTACATGTTCAGACAGACACACAGAAGAACTATATGCTATCGCAATATCCCCCCTCTGGCTAAAAAGCCGGGGGGGGGGGGATAAAAATCAATTAATATTTACCGCATAAATAAAGTTCAAAGAGCTCGAGGAGTATTGCAATGAACCATCAGCTCCAGTGACAGTAAGAGCGATTAGGGCAGGACCTTCTGAATGAGATCGCACCAGGCATGAAAGTCTATAGAAGAAACAAACAATGAAGTGAGGAACATACAAGATTATTTTAACAACCAAAGCTAATTGTTTGTGGCTCTAATGACTGTTAATAAACGTTGAATGTCGTGGTGTGTGGAGTTTGCGGTACTGTGCGGATACCGTGCACGATTTGGGGCATAAGGAAGGAAAGACGTGGTGTGTGGAGTATCTTCAGTATCTCTAGTATCTCTATACAATATAAAAATAGTATTACCCAGCAATCCCCCTAGATGTCTCAAACGAATTCCTGGGATTCCGAACATAAACGATCAACACAAGAGAGAAGGTTTTCCTCTGCCCAATATACCTTACTACAACTGAGAAAATCATGAAAAGGAGCCAATGGCGTTAAAGTAGTACCGGTAATGGTTTTTGCCCACTAATACAACAAGCTATGTTTTAATTTTGTGCTGGATTCTTCGTTATGAACTAAACAAGCTACAGACTGGGACCTTAAGTTTCTCCAAAACTGTTACTGGGCAAAAGAAAAGTTCCTCAGTATTTCACCAACCAAGTTTGAAGACTCCATTTATTTTGAAAGGAGAATTTTTTTCAATATTTGGCAGTGGCTTGCATATGAGAGGAAAGTCAAGTGATTTAAAAATGACGCTAACGACTCGACTTGTACATGTCCATCCATGGTCCAACTGTTAAACAAGACTGACTTCCTTATTCATTGTCATTAGTCTGGTGCCTGACTAAGGAGAAATGTTTAGAAAAAGTGACCTAGTACCCGACATCCTAGATATTTCTTTTGGCACAGTCAGCTGACAGTTGATGCAATACTGAGGAGTTGTTCGACTGGTTGTTTCAGCTGCCAGTCTATTTTCCTGTACTGCATATTTTCAATACCTTACGTTTTGGGACTCTCATACAAAGTATTGAGAGTCCCAAATTTTCGGACTATACAAGTCCCAGATTAATGTAAACATTCTTTTATTTACACATATTTGAAAAGTGATCGATAATCTAAGATTAAAAAAAGAAAGTTGTTTCAGTTTTAATTGCATGATAATTGTACCTTTCTCCTATCGAGTAGTTGCTTTCAAGACCAACGATATCACAAACTTGTCCGCCAACGGTAGACTTGACGTCACCAAATCTTCGGCCCAAGTCTGTTCCAGACAGAGTGATGACCGTGTTTCCTTCAATCGGTCCAGAAGCAGGGTGAACCTTGGACATTTGGAAACAGCATGTTTAATTCGTATTTACAAGAAAGTACCGTTAGTTATGTTTTCCTTTCAAACGGAACGGACGTACGTGTTACCGCGTACTTCTGTTGTGTTTTTAAGTTAGGTCTTCAGATATTATGTTAACAGCTGATATATGTCACTGTGAGATAAAAGGTGGTATTATTTGCCGACGACTACACGTTTTGCCAACTGGACAACGATTGTGCTGACAAAAACGATTAACACATAGAGGAAGGGGCTTAACCACACCCCATCTACCCCTCTACACTAAAAAAAGACCTCTCTAAGCTAAACCAACAACAAAGCGAATTCATACCAATGTTGAGCAAACAACATTCCCTTACAGGGTTCCAACCATTTTTTTTTCAGTGTAGTGACAACTCTCATCTTCGCCACTTACTTCGGTGAGGACAGGATCGGGACAGTTCAGGCCATTGTTCAATGTTACAATTCTGGGCGCACTGCATTGGGTATCATAGGAGCACGTGTTGCCACACCACACACAGCTGAGAGCTGGTCGAGCTGCGACGCAACGACTGCAAGCGCGACCAACGATGGTACAATTGTACAACGTCACTAGTAGAAACAAACATAACAGGTTTTCATAAATTAAACCGAATATTTAATTAATATTCACTTGATCAAAGAAAACTAATCTAATGTAGAATTTGAACAGGCGACTTTCGGTAACCAACATCTTGAGTACAACTTTGATCATCATCGTCATCATCATTATCATCATCATGGCCAGTTCCGTCGTGAACGACGATGGAGACGTCAACTCTCACAGTCATCTATGTACAGCTGTGTTGAGCTAGAGCTACCTTGTAGACAGCAGATCACCAATGGGAACGGGTGCTGGCAGTTGACTTCTAAGTAGTGTTTCGTATCCCAAAAGCGGCAAGATCACGTTTCAGGACATCTTTGTATCGCAGTCTGGGTCAGCCGCGAGGGCGAGGAGCATTGGCAAATTTGCCATAGAGGATGTCAGGGATTCGGCCGTTGACCTGCCTATGCCGCTATGCACGTAACCAGCCTACCGAAAGTGGCGCTGACTCAGCAGGGTGAACATGTTAGTAGCTCCGGTGAGCCGCAGGATGAAAGCATTTGGGACGTGGTCACATCAGCAGGCATCGCAAGTGGAAGGAGTTGAGGCGACGCTCTTGGCGGCGGTACGTGGTCAATGACTCACCGCAGCACAGCAGGATGCTAAGTACACAAGCCACGTAAATGCGGATCTTCAACTTCATGGAGAGGTCTCTATTGCTCTAAACACGGTGGAGAAGTTGGTCGAATGTGGTTGCGGTCTTGTCAATGCGGGAGTTCAGCATCGAGGGAGTTGGTGTTGGTGATGGTAGAACCAAGGTATGTAAACGTATCAACCACGCTCAGAGTTGTCCCGTTGATTGAGATGTTGGGAGGAACTAGAGAACCCTGCGAAAGAGCAACTGTCTTACCCAGGCCGATCTTCATGCTGAACCCCGAACAAGCTTTGGCAAAGGAACTGCGCAGGAATTGGAGATCAGTTTCACTGTGGGCGACAATAGCAGCATCATCTGCGTACAGGAGTTCACGAATGAGGACGCGTCTAATGTTTAATAGTCTGAGCTGCGAGTGTGGAGCAGTACGCCAGAGGAATCAGGAAAGGCAATTAATGCCGACAAAAGAATCAACTTGGAAAAGTTTTCTTGCAAAAATAATGTTACTGTCTAAAATGGACATGGAATAGTTATAAAAAGATAACGGATATGAAATAACGACATCCAGTCATTCAAAACGTTACTATAACTTAATATTATTATAAACTGTACAGAAAAGTATGTAAAGAAAACGTTAAGATCGTATTTAACCCATCAATCTGTGTATGTTGTACGTCACATCAATTATTTAAAAGCCGAATCTAAATTTTAACTTCATTAAGATTTAGACTCTTTTATTCAGCATTTTTATGATGTTCATCATTTATTATATATTTGTCATTGCGCTCGAAACCTTAAAAAAAACGTCATTACCTGTATAGCTGTAAACATCATCTAGTAGGTGGTGTACGTTCAAATTATCCGTCCATTCCATAATCAGTAAAGCGTGTACCTCTCGCGCTCCACCCGAGAACGAATACTGTGGTCAAAGGAAGAAAAACATATAACTGAGTATGTTATATAACACAGTAGATTACAATAAAATTAATGTATTATCTCATTGGAAAATTGAATTTGCCTTAACTTGACACAGTTTTGCAACAAACGTGAATTTCAACTGAGATGAATATCAACATCAAAACATTCAGTTAAAAGAAAAATGCCTGGGAAAGGCCTGAGATTTTTGATGTAAAGTCTAAAAATAAAGATATTTGTATTTTTTTTATAGTAAGCTTGGACTGTTCTTCTAAAGAAACAATGACGGAATATAATGCAGACTTTCATGTGGAAATCAATCCTGATTTTAAATGTTGTAAAAAGTTTAATTTTAAAGAAAATTTGACAGTATTTTCTTTATGGAATTCCAGCTGGCAATGTACATGAATGTGATTTAAATAGGAAGTTAGGGAAAGACTCATATCTTACTGCTCTATCCTTGCATGTTATGGTTTCACCACTTCGTTCTGCATCAGCTAAGATGTCATTTCCCTCGACATGAAGAAGACATCTGTATGAGGAAACCTTGTCGTGAGGGAATCAAAAACAGGTCAGAATTTGATTATCACTGACAGAACTAAATTTACAACTACATTATCTGTTTTAACATAGTTTTTGCTATTTTCTTGTTACTGTATCCCAAGCGCCGTCCGAGAGTACCCCATTAAACTCGGTAATCGAGTAGTTAAAGAGGCCATGATTCTAGTCGCACCCCATGGAATAGACGCTTGCGCTACAACATCTTGACTTGAATCTTGAATCTTGACCTCCAGATTCTAATCATGCAGCGGGCGCCTTCTATAGTGTCTTCAGTAATCCGATGTTGTATGAGAACAAAATGGCAGACTAATCCACAGCTTTGGCAAAACGTCTGCTCAAAAGGACGTCACAACTTCTAAAAACGGCTCCGGTTGCCTGGCGCTCCGGGTCGCATAAAATGACATGCACGGATATATCAGACGATTGTAGTGTACCTCTGCACACGTGAACGTGTGATCTCCAGACTAGTCGTACCCTAAAAAGCCCTGCTTTGTTTTACTCGCACATGCTCAGAGGTCTGGATCGAGTAAATAGTGCTAATAAAATCTCCAGACGCAAGCAAAGAAATATAAATAAATAAAGCATTTTTTTCTCCAAAGATGATTGTTTAGGAAAAAGCTTTCTGATTTGTTTTTACGTACCTGTGCAGGGTCAGGCAGATTTTCTGTAGAGAGAGTGACTGATCTGGACACGCCCACTGGGATAAGCACCTCCCCTCCCTGGGCCTGAAGCTGCGGGCAAAAGGTGGCTCCTTTGGCGGTTGACACGCGAGAATTCTTCCGTACCAGGCACATGAATGCATAGAATAGTCCACAGGCAAATTCAGAAATGATTGCAAGTTGCTACTTCAGTTTGAAAGGAATGTATTACGGTTTGTCTATTTTCTATTTTCTAGCAACTAATGACGTCACCTTATAGACCACAAGTCGCGTCGGTGGTTAGTATGTTAGTAATCGGATGTTGCGCATGGTATCTAGACTAATTTAGCCATGAAGGTACGTGCTTGTGTGGACCTCTTGACTGTACTGAAGTAGATACCATATCTACGCAAGATCGGCAGACCTGGACAAATATTGTCGCCATCCACCACGAGCGACGCAGCCGACATAGAGAGATGAGTAGACCTCTTATGCATTCATTGTTACTGAATAGGCCTGATGCGGCGTTGCAGGTGTTTTGGATGGTATTTCATGTTAATTAGATTTATCTACAATGAATGCACAAAAAGGTTTAGGCCTACCCATGTCAATGTAAAACCCATTTTCCTCCATCCCCGCCTCTACGCATAAAGTATATGAATTATTGTTGATGTCCCCTAACGTGGCGCGGCACCTAACGTGGCACACTTTGATTTTTCGCCTCTTGTGCCTTGCTAGAGCAATTCGTTTCCCTCAAATTTCAGAGTAAGTGAAGTTTTCATCAAGCTAAACATTTCCGTTCACAATTATTGAGTATACCTACCCGTTACAAGGTTAAAAGATATTCTGTGAGGAACATTTAGCCAAGACTTCGAGCTTACCTTGTCACCGGTTATAATGATCTCATTTCCTCTTCTACACGTAGAGCTCTCGTGAGTGCATCTATCTTCAAACACACACCAGTCACACGCCCATCGGCTTCCAACACATGACACGCAACTGTGTGAAAAAGGTAATACAAATAGACACCGCAGCTGGCTTCAGTCATTGACTTGCTTCATTCAAATTGTATTGTTAACCTCTATGCCAAACAATTAAAACCAGTAGAAAACATGACAAGGCAAGTCTTGTAAAACTGGTCACAGAGCGCAAACAAATTCTATTCAACTGATTCAGAATGATTATCCACTGGAAGTTTCATACGTCTCGTGTACACAATGGGCAGGATCTTTCCCATAACGGGATAGTCCTAAGAATTAACACTGCCCGGCTCTCGTCGCCAGTCAATTAATAGGCTAAGTCAACAGTGACAGTCAGTGAGTGAGTAAATAATAGGTGAAGGAGATACATAAAAACAAGACTTTAGTCTGGCCCACTGGGACCAGTAACTACCGCACAAAGCAGCATTCATTATTCGTTGAGATATCGTTAAGAAACGATACTGTTAGGGGGCAAACCGGTACAGTGCAGATTACCTTTAGCGAAAATAATGCAACTTATTACTGCAATGTAATTAGTATGATTTTTTTTCTCTTACGAGGTATGACTGGAACACTCGTAGAAATGAAATGGCAAACTCAGGAAGTTGACGGACGTTTCCGTGGAATACACCGACAACTCAACGCTTACTGCATCTAGTGGGGAAAACACAGAAATAGATCAATGTTTTTTAAACGATTGACAAATCATTTCAGGATTTTGACGTACTTTAAGATGATGGTTGTTGAAGGGCTGATATAACAGACAAGAAAAAAATTCGATTCCAGAAAACACGTAAAATCACAAACATGAAATAGGAACTTGAACTGAAATTCGCGGGCAATGTTGTCATTTTTATCAATCCCATGCAACAGATAATGAGGAGGCAGTTTGAAAAAAAATCAGAGGTTTGCTGATCAAGACACGAAATTAGCAATGGTGCTGCATTCAATGTGCATATAACTGAATCTAATCGCCATAGACCATATACCTAGCAGCCATCCTAGAAGCCATCTTCAATTATTTTAATTTAGTAACGATTAATGCATGAAAGGTTCACTCATGCGTATCCGAACAAAACAAAGGTCTATTTCTCAAAAGTCATTAACAGAAGAACATCATTTTGGTACCTGATCCTTTTTCAATTGGAGGAATCCTGCCACTTGGGGGCGTTGTACATGTTAAACTGTCTTCAGTTACTATTGCTGGGCTGGCATAAGAACCGAAATGACACTGGTACGATTGGCCGGGAGAGAGGTCGGGAAGCTGCTGAATTGTCATACTCATCTGCATTGCAAACGGTAACTTTTAATCTTAACGTTCCTATTTGTAACTTTATGTGTAAGTGAAAGAATTCATTAGAATTTTGAAGACAGAGACAAAACTATCCAAGCGACGAATTGAATATTGTTTGATTCAAATAGCCTTAAGCATTGGCCTAAATTAAGCTTTTTAACATGAAAGGATACATAAAAGACACTGAGAAACCTCTTCACTATGAAAGCTATGAAACTCAGGCGGACTGGGACTTTGAGCGCAAAAAATATGATATAAAATAAGGCCAACTTTACTCACTCTAAGCTGACAAAATTTTCAAAACTTTGTATGAGGCAAAGACAGAGTCCTTCGTATTTCACTACCCAAGTTTGACTGCTTCAAGTCAATTTGTAAAGAAGAACATTGACATTCAACATTTTGCAACTGCATGAGAGCAACGCCAAGTGCTTTCAATTTAAAGCCTAATATTAGACTGATATGTCCAACTCCTTGAAAAGCCTTTCAGTAGTTTGGTGGCATGACTATGCACAAAATGTGTAGAAATAGAGACTAGGTACCAGATTTTTCTTTTGACACAGTGGATTGATGCGGTAGAAAAGGGGGTGTTGAACACGTTGTTTCTTATGCCAATATAAATATTTTCTTGTGTTGCATGTTTTCACTATCTTGTGTTAAGGGACTATCATACACAGTGTTAAGCAGTGTTGTAGGACTCAAGTCCCAGACTAGGACTCGAGTAACATTTTTTCGTGACTCGGACTCGACTCGAGTCACATTGGAAAATGACTCGGACTCGGACTCGGACTCGACCATGATGACTCTGAATCGAGTTTGGTGACTCGTTACTCGAGTCACGTATTTTCATTGAAGGGAAACACATAACGTTACGTACTTTCTTTTTTACTCCATAGACAATGACTCCATAGACATAGACGGCGCCGCGGAAAATTGTATCCAGGGGCCGCGCACGCACGCTAGCGCCTGCACCAGGACCCATTGTCATGCCAAAAAGTGTCCAGTATCATAGTTTTTAGGGAGGGGAATTAAAAGGAAAACACATTTTGGGTCTAAACAACATGCACACACACAATGCCAACTGTATACGCTGGGATTTACTTAAAAGACAGAAGGGATGTTTGAAAAATATTTTTAAACAAACTATGATTTGCTTGGTGAACAACTAAGAACAAGTGACTCGTGACTCGGACTCGAGGCTTGTGACTCGGGACTCGGACTTGGACTCGACGTTGGTGACTCGACTACAACACCGGTATTAAGAGTCCCAGGTTTCGGACTATAACTCAGGGTGAATTATTAAAGTTCAAAATCTTCTTTTATACGTAGCAAAGTTAGTGCTTCGCTTTGAGTAAACAATTTTCTTAGATTATAGCTTGACAGCAGGTAAAACATCGACTGATTGGGTTTCTGGACGTGTATTGATTATGCCTCTTGATGATATCAAAAGCTAGAGTTTGTTAAATAGACCATTTAAATTACGTTATTTAGGCCAATGCTAGAGGTATTACCAGATACTTGAATGCATTGTCTGACTCACCTGCCATTCCGTTTTTGTTATAGGGAGGCTGGCTTCCACACTGGTTATCTCCAAGCACTGTTCAGCGTCGTACGCAAGCCACCTTGTTGATACATCCGGCAATGGACATTCACAATATCGTGTGCATCTTTAAAAAAAAATTATAATAGGATCGGTTTTATTTTTGTACGTCGATTTTTTTGTTGAACTATAATTATCTTCCTGGCGAGCACGAGTGTCTCCCAATTGGGGTCCACTTTAATCCTCTTTGCGGTATCTATTGCAGGCAGCGTTACTACCGCACATCCATCTTTGAAGTCCTTACAATGACATCAAAATGTTGTACTACAATGCAAAACGTCTTACAGTTTCGGATGTCAATGACAACATGTTCTTACTTTCTTTCCAGCGAGCACCAACCGCAGTAAGGGTCGCCATCTTGTCCAGCTTTAGTCCCAATACACGCCGCGCATGTGGTGTACTGACTGCAATCGTCTACGCCGAGTTTCACTAACTGCAGTGTAGAACAGTCAAGTGAAAGATGTCGATATGTGTAGGTCATTGTGAAGGTATTTTTTGAAGCATAGCAAGACACAATGTTGATATTTCCAAAACAAATAAAATATTATTATCCTGATTGTTACATCAGGATAAAGAAAAACTTCAAATAAACGTTTTGGCCTAATGTGGCCTTTACCTGCATTACTGGAGGTTGTTACAGATATTTACCTTTTGTTCCGTTAACAGAATTAGTTCATGTGTTTCGCTGTCAACATGGATATCTCGAAGAACGGGACTGGCGTCAACACTAACCCGTTCATACAACCGACCAGTTGTGCTACTTTCCACGTGAACCTGCAGGCGGAGACAGTCCACTCAAAGTATGTGTTACAAAGTTTCACGATAATCAGTTGATATTTTCTGGGAAAGGTTTATTAACATTTCAAAACTCAAAAGTTTCTAAATCTTTAGGCTGTTAGATATTAACATAATTTAATGTAATTAATATAGTTAGATTATTTTATTTTATTTTTTTCTGGTAATGAAACCAAGGATTCTTCAAAAGTGCCCAAGGCACTGTAGCTCGAAAGCCTGAAGAAACCCGTAGAGAGAGGACAATGAGAAGAAATTACAGTTTTAGAGGTGGGAGGAAAAGCTCAGAGGAATATTCTGAGGAAAACCCACGGAATCAGGAAGGGACTTAAAACCAAGTCCACATGTTTGCCCAGGCGGGATTAAAACCCCGATCACAGCGGTGGAAGGCGAGGAAAGTACCGTTACGCCAACCTGACTCCTCTGACTCCTTGGATTGCATTCAGTAGCCATCTTTGAGGTGTGATTTGTTTTGTAAATCCAATAATGCTGAATGCAAAAGAATCAGTGCTGTTGACTTGAATCGCTGACTCGGACTCGAGTTGGACTCGAGTCGCTATTTTTTTTACTTGAAATTTGACTTGACTTGGGAACAATTGACTTGATACTTGACTTGACTTGAAAATAATTAACTTGAGACTTGACTTGACTTGGAAAAAAATGACTTCGTTACAACTCTTAAAAGAGTCCACTAATGTGCATCCCTGTTGAGCACCGAAGCCACACCTCGAGGATGAGTACAGTGCACACAAATTGTAATGCAAAGCAGACATGCCATGGTAAAAATGGTGTCGGTATACTCGAACTATAACACTTCCTGATCAATGGGAATATGATCGAAATATCAAATTCGAAGAAATTTACCTTAAGCAAATCTCCAGCCGATGTCCCGATTAAGGCGATGGTGTGGTTGACTCCTAAAGTGGTCGTGATTGATGACATGAGAGTACCAGGCAGCTCTAGAATCGCCGTGGATGGAACGGGGTCTATGCCCTTGGCATATCGGAATAACGAAATACCTCCATTAACGGTATGGGATTTGCAAAGATAGCGATCCAAAATGGGTATCTATAACGAAAGTACAAACAAGAAGGAAGGATTTACCTTATGCCCCAGTCACACATCCAAGACCAAAGACCCAGACCCCGCCAAGACGATGAGATTTAAGAATTTCTTGAAAATCGTACCAAATTTGTAGGATATGTGGCGCCAAATTCAAATTTCGTCTTCTGAGCCCCAGTCAGCAGACCGTGATCAGAATGTGCTGCGATGTCGCCCGAATACTACGACTCCGAAACGACCTCGAATCGAATAATGCGACTTCGCTACTAGAGTACTAACACAACCGATTGAGTACCGACACAAAAGACCGAGAACCGACGCCAAAACGACTCCGAAACGACACTAGAGTGACGTCATCTTCGGAATTACACGTTGTAAAGGTCTTACCGTCAAAAGTCGGCTAAAAAAATTGGCCGACCATGTACGACCACTGCAGATCTCATTTAGACTACTGCGATTTCGTTACCACTTCGTTACGACACAACCGTTTGAGTAGAGACAGAGAACAAACTTTGATACGTTTTGGATTTTTTTTTGCCGACCATAACGATATGTTTCAACTGTTGATACTTATTGTGGCTCCACTGCCGACCATGCACGACCTGTAGGATGCCTAAACGGCGCTCAAGAAGTCGCTCCGCTAAAGTTAAAATATCGTTCTGAGTTTCACGATGTCGTCGAGTCTTGCGTCTCAGCACTGTCTTATCGTGATCGGGAGGCACTAAAAAGCTCACTAAAAGCTTTAATGTCTGTCTTTAAAGTGATTAAATAACAAGTTTACAGCAGAAGAAACAGGCGAAAAGACAAGACGTATCATAAACAAATTGCATTTATATTTGATTTTTTTCTGCTGGAATTTTTGTTATGTATTTTTCTGTGTTACATAGGCTTAGGAGCGACGTTGGCGGTTGGAAATATAACGTCATTGCATCAACAATTGAAAACTGCGTCGAACCATAGGTGGTATATGAGCCATACAAACACAATGTACGTGTACAATAAAATAGCCATCTTTGGGTTTGCTCTTTGGTAGATTCGATGGTGAACTCGATAATGAATGTAACGGACAACATGGATACCAGATGGTTGTATGAAGTTGGATATAGCGGGGGTGATGCTCTTGGCCTACACGGGGACATCTCTATAGTCTGAAGTACCATTGGCCCGGCGTCCCATTGGTCCGACGTCCCATTGGTCCGGCGTCCCATTGGTCCGACGTCCCATTGGTCCGACGGCCCATGGCTCTATACGTTCCATTGATATAAACGTTCCATTGGTATAAACGTCCCAATGGTCCGACGTCCCATTGTTCCGACGTCCCACTGGTCCGAAGTACCATTGGTCCGAAGTACCATAGGTCCGACGCCCCATAGGATTAGGGTTAGGGCCCTGTCACACTTCTGCGTATCCTAATTCCTTATGAGTTGCGCATTGATTTTTTTTATACGCAGTCGTACGCACAATACGCACCTCATATGCATCTCTATCGTTTTATGTAAGTTTTATGTACGCAGGCATACGCATGGTACGGCCCAGTGCGCTGGATAGTTTTGGGCATGCACAAAACTACGCTGCGTACGCTGTTACGCAGGTCATAAGTTATAAATACGCAGCGCATCGGTCCCGCATCGGTCGAGCGCGGTACGAGTACGCTATGTGTTCGTGAGGGATAAGCCGTTCACACGCGGCAATACGCTGACCTCCTCTATTCGACGTATACATAGCGACGTATTGCACGAATTAGTACCGCTCGTCCTGCGAGCGGGCAGCGCATTGTACTTATTCGTAACTTATGAGAAACGCACAGATGGCGAACTTGCGCACTGCATACGCAACTCTTACGCCTCTCATACGCAGTGGATGCGCTGAATTCGTTACTTGTTCGCTAGATGTGCGTCGCACATATGTCAAAGTAATCAAAAAATTTCGACGTTTTTGATCGTACGGCTGCGTATTGAAAATTGTTGATAAGGAACTCATAAGGAATTAGGATACGCAAAAGTGTGACAGGGGCTTTAGGGTTAGGGTAAGGGTTAGGGTCAGTCAATCTGAACCAATGGAACTATACCGTTTTTTTATGTTTCGTCCAATGGGACGTCGGACCAATGGGTATCGTCGGACCAATGGGTATCCGTACCACTGTTACTTTGGACAGTCGAGACGTAACCGGCCTACAGTTCACAACTTAATGTTGTGTTCTGATGTGCCACAAGGTTGCAAAGGAATCGACCAGGCAATTGTATCATGACATTGAAGTCAGCGGCTTCATGCTTGTTAAGTTTCAGCTTCAAATATTACAAAGCCAGGTTAGCTTTGAACGTTTATCAGTATATCAGATGGTATAAGTATCGAGGCAAAATTCCACTAAAATACAATTCTCTAAAGCCACAGTTTGATTACAGACGGTGTTTTTAGTCCTCTATGCTTGTACGTTGTCAGTGTGGGCTCCAAAGCTTTATCGATATTGTACAATATGCGTGCACTTCTCTGAATGAATTGATTTGGCAAAAGGATCAAGATTTCATCTGTGGATTTTGTATGATTTTAATTAATAATGAAAAAAATATTCGAAATCACTTACCCTAAAGAAGCTGCAGAAACTGTTCAAGTATTCGACGCTGTATGTATTTCCATCTTGTATGCATCCCCGCACCGCTTCTCTGAAGGCAGCCAAGATGTCAGTCATCCTGTACACACACAACGCTGAGTGATCGCTGGGTACATCACTGGTACCTGGAGCTCCTTGGTTCTTGACAAACACTGCATAGAGCACCTGCCCGTCTGCATTGAGATTCAATGATGCCGCTAGATCAGGTCCTGCTGGTCCAAAGTGAGCTGCTTGCACCAAGCTGTCACACTGCCATCTGATCCACTGCACTGTAGGGTAATTTCTGTGTACGAGTCTAGATTAGCGCCGTCTTGACAAACGCGACTGAGTTTAGATGCAAGGTGAAATGATACGAAATAAGTAAATCCTCGAAAAGAAAACACCTTGATGTAATTGATAATTGTATCAGCGAGATATCTCCTGCCAAATACAATGTCATATTCACTCGATGCCGCCAAGAATCCACTACCGTATTTTAGCCTTCTTCTAGAAATCAGCGGGATATTGCGACGGTCAGATTGATCAAATGTTGCTCCCACATACAAATAATCTTTTTGATTCCGCCCTGGACCAATTGTAGCCACAGAAGCCTTCTCTGCGATCGATGTTACGGGATACACAGTGCTCATGATTACAGACAAATCTATCAAATTCCGCAGCTGGCACTGACCATTGTTTTCGCTGTCACAGGTTATCAGTCCCAGGGGAGGGTAAATGATCAAGATTTTGTTGTAGTTAGAGTCTCTATCAGGGCGATCTGTGTTGTTGTACGTGGTGATGTTCTTCTCGTGATCAAAACTGCTGTTAAGTCTGAAGAGCCTATTGACAGCCCCGACATAAACATCCCCCGATTCCTGATCGATGGTGAAGTGGTTGAATTTGGCGTTGGGGTTGGAGTGAGGATCCTCGTACGAGAAAGAAGCTATTTTGTAGTTTGCCAAGTCACCCTGCGACACAGCTACCGCGATGTGGCAGAGTGATGGGAGCAGCAGGCACAACTCAACGATTCTACTGAGAGTTGCCATGTTTTTACCATTCCGAATAGTCAGTTAATGAGTTCACGGTCTGTGTGTGTCTCTTCGCCGACGAACGGAGAGAATTTGAAAGGATTCTAGTTGTTGCATTAAAGCAGCCAGGTCAATTTCCGTATTTATTGGCAATAATTTCCTTGTAGCTCAACTTAAGGTTGTTTCGATATAATTTTTCTTATTTTTCACTGGCATTTCCGCCTAAGCGGGAAAGCCTTTGTTTTTGTTCTCATTTATTTTTTCTTCTAACTTCCCTTTTGTCTTGTTCTCCCCAAAATTCTATAAACATTTGTACAATTTTTTTGTTTTATTAAGGCCGGGATCTTAATCATACTTGGCCCAAACAAAGACCGCATAGCACATGTGGTCCTAGAGGATTGACATCATGATGACGTCATCTCGTGTTATGTGACGTCGTCTTTAGTGCATATTTTACAGTTTAATATCCGGAGAAATACAAGTTTGATTGGGTTGAATCTTTGGAAGTATAGACAGGGACGTGTCATAGGCGGAAAATGAGATGACGTCATGGTAATGTCATTGTGTGACTTTTAAAGGGAATATACATCATTTACTTTTGCTGTAATTTTCAGAAATGGATGGAATTGGGGGTTGAAAATATATAGCAAATATAGTTACACTGACTTTTTTGAGGTTTTGGGTTCGAAAATGCTATAAAAACCAAGAAAAATAATCATTTTCCTGTAGTCTGGCTCCCTGACTCCATATAAGAAGAAACAGAGCAGTTTACATACATTGGGGTATTGTAAGGTCAGGGAACCAGTCTAGCTGGCTCTTACCCGTTCATAGGTTTGTAATCGATTCCAAACAAGTGCAATGGTCAATTGGGGCCAGTTTTTGAATAAAGCCAGTTTTTTTCCAACGCTGATCGGCCGATCAGCGTTGGAAATTGATACAAAAATACCACTTTTTCTTGAAAATGACAGTATACCAGGTGCCATGATTTTACAGGATGCTTTTACACTGTCATTCACTAACAGTCCAGCAAGGTATTTCAAAATGATTTGGTAGTTTTATTTTTTTGATGTTTACAAATGTTGTATTTTCCCTTTGAACAAAAAATGCCATATTTCACGAATGGAACATACTAAATTAAAATTCCTCTTATAATAGGTTTATTTATACGTCATTGATACATGAGCAAAAAGGGAAAACATGTGACGTCGTGATGACGTCATAAAAAATTAGTTTTAAATCGCATAAGAGTACGTTTGATCGTCATGAAAGTCGGTGTGTAGGAAGATAGTGTTACTATCATGCAAATTCCAACTTGACGTCAAGATAAGGCGATATTTTACTAATATTTTGAAACTTTAAATGTTGTTTTACTTATACAATAAGGTCATTGTCTTTAATCAGATGGACTTCAAATTTAGCACAGACAAGGACCACATAGTAAATGTGTGCATTGCCAAGTGACATCATGAAAACGTTATCATGGGTCACGCGGCGTTATGTTCAAGGTTATATAATCCTATATCTAGAAAACTAGATATAAATCCTATATCTAGAAAACTAACATGTACAAGTTCATTCGGATTTACAGTTGGTGTGCACTTATAGACATACACATGCTGTAGATAAAAATGAGGTGACGTGGCTTCATCATGGGTCATGTGACGTCATCTTCACGTGCATTTTTTAACGTACCGTATTTGGAGAACCTACAAGTGATATAAATGCCCCCCAAAAATAGAGAAAAAATACCCCCATAAGAAAAACCTAAAAAGAAGAAGAAAAAAAACCCAGCCAAAACCGAAAGTTCAATTATATGAACTCGGACACAGAGACCAACACTTATATTCTAAATCCAGAATAAATTGAAACCAGTGAACTTTCTTTCGCGGCAGATTACGGAGGTTGCAGTGCAATTTTTAGTTTCGTGAAAATGAATTAAACCACTTCAAACTGCAAAATGGATTGACCTGAAAAATGCAGGTCAACAAAATAAACGGGTCGAACGTTTCGGTCTTCTGCAAGACCTGCGTCAAAGACAAACAAAATGACCAAGGCTAGCTAATTTTGTTGATTTGCATTTAATTTCGTGAGCTGTAACTTTAAGTTCCGTTGAGGAATTCAGTTGGGTGCATTGGTTCACAAAAGAAAACCAATGCTCACAGAGACTGGCGAGTTGCTTAGTAAGACTGCAGTTGGAGTGCTAAAAGAGAGTCGAAAATGAGATGAATTGGGGATAATGTTTCAACAGCTATTTCAAAGAAATAAAATAAGAGAAGTGTCAAAGTGAAAGAAAGAAAGAAATTGTAGACGGATTCCAATGCAATATTGTGTGAAAAGATTGATTCTTATTTTATGCAGTTCATGGAAATCTCACCATAATACGGGGTGAATCAAAACAAAAGTGATCTGGATTAATGATTTCCACCCCTAAAAATACAATTTAATTTGATACAGTGATAATTCATGCATTAAAAAATTAAAGGATAATCTTCCACTTGTGTGAAAAAAAAATAAATGAAATTGATCCGTGCTATCGGAAATGTCAACGGAATGCTAATCAGATGAGTTGCTCCATTTGTATACGATATACTGGTCACCCTAGCAATGTGTGAATTCCAGATGCATTTTGAATCACTTTTCCTTTCTGTACATCTTTTTGCAGAGAAGCGTACACAAGAGTTTTCTTAAGACACTTCTAGCTAAAGGGGTGATCACGCCTCGTGTTTCGACAGCGTTCTGTTTGACACTTTAAAACTGAGATCGATCGCACAATCGATCCCGCAATCAGTGTCCTGGTAGTGTCGTCTATGCTTTCCACCATTTACTCTAAAAAAGGAGGAAATAAACTTATAAAAAAAATGAGCAGTAATGTGCACATTTTAACGTTCCATGACATAAATAATCCAGGGATCATCTCAAGGCCCCTTTGAAACACAGGAAGTCTGATGTTTATTTGGATCATTTCCCCTTTCTGTCCATTTAATTGTTTTGTTTGTTTGTTTTTTTTGTTTTTTTTTTGAGGGGGGGGGGGATAAGTATTCTAAAGCCATGGAGGAAGTAACTTAAATACGTTATCAGTCAAATGTATGATGATCCAGGGTAAATATCCATGCCCCGTAAAAGATAGAAAGTCCCCACTTGGTGGACATGTTAATTTTCTTTATATCTGCAACCAATTCTGTGGGACTTCATTGAATAAGCAACGACTTCACATAAACCAAGATGAAATCTTCCACTTGTTACGAAAACTGTTGTATAAGTGACTAAAATTGTAGTCTTAATGCACAATTATTTGTACAAAACAAGTTGTCCTATCAATAAATGAGTCATCATTTAATGTACAGATCAAATTCAATACTCAAATTCGTTTCACCCAGCAGTACAAATTTCTCGGCAACAGTAATGAAGGAAGGCAGTGGCGTGGCTAGAATATTTTTAGGGGGGGGGGCATACAGGGGGCACATGGGGTAGGGGGGGGGGACATCAGAATATCATGGGGGCACATATCGCAAACGTCAAATTGCAGTCTTTCCCATTAGGGCCCTATAATGCCTCGCTAAATCGATTGACATAAAAAATTGTAAACAGTTAGCCTTTGGCTAACTGAAAAAATACAAAATACTAAAACCCTTTTTGGTTGGGGAAGGAAAATGGGCAGTATTTTGGTGGAGGGTGGACCTGGGGGGAGGGGCACGGACAATTTGTGGGGCCCCTCCTTGCCCCTCTCCTCCCCGTGGCTGCGCCACTGGGAGGGGGGGGGGGACCACAACAGCATGGAAAACTAAAAATCGGGATGTTGGAGGGGGAAAAGAACGATTGTACACACTGTGGGACGTATACATTCTATGGACGCTGTTTAATCAAGTATGTACATAACTCCTGTACACGAACATTATACACACTTTATGCCACATTCTCTGAGTAAGAAGGGAAGAGGAGCAATGTCTGGGATCTATTTCACCTCGGTTATAAGGTGAGGATTTCGGTATATCTTTTTTAAGAATCCATGTGGCAGTGGCGGTCCTACGGGGGGGGGGGGGGGGGGGCTGGGGGTGCTTTAGCGCCCCCCCAAAAGAAAAACAATTGTCTAGCCCCTCCCCCAAAAAATGCCAAAAAAAATCGTCTCCCCCTAAATAAATAATGGTGAGAAGGGTGCATTTGTACACTTTTAGTTAATATAGTGTGCCTAATTGTAGGATTTTATCAGTGGTCCCCATTGAAAGTATGCCACGCCCCCCCCCCGAAAAATGGTAGTCAAAAGTGGTCAAAAATTGCCACAGATCGCACCACAGAGCATCTAGAATCCAAACTTTTTTTAAACCCCTCGCGTAATTGTTTGGATCCATGTTTTTTTTTGGGGGGACGACAATTTAACTTGAAAAATACCGAAAAATACCGAAACCTGGGGGGGGGGGGGCTTGAAAACCTTTCCTCCATGGTGTGCTGTTCCAGTATGTAAACGCGCAAATAAACACGTATACCAGATAGAAAGCGGGTATTGTGTTACAACCAATTATCTATAGTAGTCATTAAGTTATTGCGCTTTGGTTGTTCACTCGGTATCCTGGTAATTTCATATTTTGCCCATCCCAACTTACAAAAGAGGAGGAAGTAAAATAAAGATATTATTGATAGAAATATGTGCGCGTCATTGACGTAAAGGATCCACACAGGAAACATCAAGGCCCCAATACAGGAAGTCTCTGCTATATTTAACCCTTAAATCTATCTTTATTTCAGCAACATTCATGTGCCTGCATTTAACAAACGACTTCACAATGAACATATTTGAACTTAAATCCCATATAGGACGCTTTATTTTGCCATATCTAAAAAATTATTCAATTTTGACTTGGGGTGGTTCACCATCCAAATGCAACCAACTGCTCATGTTACAGAAGCGAGTGGTCCGATTAATATATCTCATGCATGCTGGTTATCGTGATCATACCCTTCCTTTATTTGCAAATTTGAGACGCTTACAATTTAATGACTTATAGGGCCTACTACTTTAAACTGGGTAAATTTATGTATAGGTTTACAAACAATACATTACCTACTTGTTTTAACCCCTTCTTTATGTTCACATCTGATATTCATTTGTATAATACCCGAAGAACCAGTAGGAGAAATTTATATATCCAATGTAACAGAACAACATTGTCTCGAAGTAGCGTTATTCAACGTGGTACATCATATTTGAATAGTCTAAATGACTCCTTAAAATCATCACCCTCCTTCCCTATCTTTGTTAAAAACCTTAGATCACATCTACTCAATTCTTATTCGAATAACTAGTTATAATTTTTGAATATAGATGTATGCTCTGGTCTAATACCAATTTGTGTATTCTATAGGTTGTCTTTTTGCGTGGTCTGACTGTTGTCCGTTTTGTCCTTTGTCACTGTCTCTGTTTTTCTCGGTCATGTCCACTTGTCTGTCGATAGGTTAGGGTACAAAAGCATGACGCTTCACCATACACCTATATCGTGTCGTGAATTTGTTTTAGTACTGATCCATGTACATTATTATACACCATTACATAATTCATAGCATTTTGCTCTGTAGGTCCTATAATATATTTACACGGCATTGTAACATTTTATAGTGTAGAAATGTCAACATTAAAATAAATGTTTCTACTGTCGTATACGCAGTATGACTTTATTGTTCATTACAATATGGAATTTCATTTAGCAAGCAACACAATACTGTTGTAGCAATGTAGCAAATCCAATGCTCAATATTCGCTATCTTCACATGCAGGCTTTACTCATGAAACCCGAAACGCGGACATCCAATTTTCAGATTTTCTGCTAGGCAGCGGAATTTTAGGCTTTTGTTAAGTAGTCCAACCATTTTTAAGATGTAAAATTCTGCTAGCAGAAATTTGAACTTTACTTTGACCACTCTCTCGGCGCCCAAAAAGTAGAAAACCATAACAATTTAAAATCTCCAAAATTTGGGTTGAATGTTTTGCAGAATTCAAAATCTCAATTTTGTGCCGGTGGATATTTGGTTGTGGACCGAGAGTGGACTGAAAGTAAAAAGGGACATAGTCGTCAAGGTAAAATCCACAATTCTCATGGCAGAAAATTGATTTTCTTTTTTAAATGGATGGTGGGACTTCAACAAACCTGAAAATTCTGCTAGCAGAAAACTGGAAAATTGGATTGTCCACTTTTGAGGCTCCAGCAATAAATTCAATGGAGCAATGCTAAAACGTCACAAGATTTTGAGAGAAACCTAAAATGTATTACGTATACGCCTAAGTTTGATATCTAAATGAATGTAAAGATGACAGATTGCAAAAAAGTGTCTTTTTACAGAAACATCAATGAATTGCGAATATTTAGAAAGGAGTAAACATGAGGACCAACCGATTATAAATCGTGGAATTCACTGAAAACCAACTTCTATATAAAAAATGTGTATATATTAAAATTTGCCATACCTAAGTTACTGCAATATAGTCTGGGCACGCACAGGTACAAGCAAAATAAAGTCACTCTCTTTAAAGGGAATGTACATCGTTGGCAATTGTTGTTATTTTCAGAAATGAACTATTTGAGGGGTTAGTATAATAGATCAAATATTGTTACACTGACATGTTTGAAGTTTTGTGTTCGAAAATGCTGGAAAAACTAAGAAAAACAAAAATGTTCGAGGAGTCTGGTTCCCTGACTCCACTAAAGATGAAATGGATCAATTTATAGATGTCAGAAAATTGTAAGGTAATGGAACCACTCTAGCTGGCCTGCACCCGTTCATGAACATCTAACCAATAGCAAACAAAATTTGGATTGAACAAAAATGGTAAATTGGAGCAATAGTTGAGAAATAGTCAGGTTTTTCCTACGGTGGTCGGCCGACCACCGTTGGAAATTTATACAAAATACCAAGTTTCTTGAAAATGACTTCACACCTGGTGCCATAATTTTACAGGATGCTTTAAACTGTCATTTACCAACATCTGAGTAAGGTTTTTCGTAAAAATAGGGTAGTTTTGTTTTCCGATGTTTGCAAATGTTGTATACATGTATTCCCTTTAACTAAAAAAACAAGCCCTCAGAAATCTGTACAAGTAGACCGTGTAAGTTTTGCGCATAAAGGTCACAATTCAATTTCCGGGCATCTCTGAGCCGGTTGGTGTAAGACTTTTACGTGAGCTTGATATTGTTTTCTATAGTACTTTGTTTTAAACGAAGATCTCAATTATAAAACGGTCTTAATTATTGATGATAAATTTTCAAGTAATTTTACACTATATGAAAACATGCATGACTGTCTAAATTATTACAGACAAGTGGACAAAAATGTTTTGAGTCAATTTTTTTTCTCTACTTTTTTTTCAATAATTAATGTGTGGAAAGCCGGCCCCAAAAAGCCCTGGCTGTATCCTCTGGCGCTGACGTGAGCGTTTGTTCATTAAGTATCTAGACTTTTTTGCCCTGCTTTTCCATAATTTGATATATCGTTCACATTTTGTAAATTTCAATGAAAAAGTTTTTCATAAGTTTTCATCTTTACTTTTCAATGGTCTTCTTCCTGACATATATTGTTTTTCACACCACTATACACGAAACTCACAGAATAATTTCTACCTGCTTCAACCGCACATTTTCGTACATGAATATCCTTCCGTGGACCTTGTCTATGGAACTCCATCGACGAGTCGATCAGAATCAAACCGCCTTTAGGCCTATTTAATATCATATCTAATGATCTAATCTTATAGAGCATAGCATCTTTTTCCGTCTTTCTCTATTTTTCTGTTCTTTTGATATGTTTGCTATTTGATCTTTATATCTAGTATGATGTTTCCTCCACATGCCATTTGTTGTCTTCTTTATAGTTCTAACTTTTTAGCATTTATACTATGCCATTTTTAATATATGTGTATATTGTTAATACATTTTTATACATTTTTATAGATTTTTATAGATTCTTTGTGTAGCCAGAAGTATTGGAATTGAAGGCCTTTGGGCCACAGTTTTTAGGTAAACTTTTTAAATTCCGGGCATATGCCCCTGGCTTTTGTTTTTGTTTTCTTGGTTTTTGCTTTTATATTTTTTGAATGTTTGTTGTTTGTATGTGTTTTTAATGCCGAATAAATAATAATAATAATAATAATAAAAATAATAATGTGCTTGTGTTGTCTTTGGTCCTCGGTGTCTGGTGTTGTTTTGTTATAAAGACTTTCCGTACAAACTTTGCTTTTGGCAGTTTGCCCCTCTATTGCACCCTGGGTTTTTTTCTATAAACAATTTAGCCTCACTCGTGTTTTATTTAAATCTGCTCTTTGCTTTTCTGTGTTCCACTTTTAGGTAGGTATTGTTTCCTGCATAGTGGCAATTTAAGACATGTTGACCTACATTTATATTGTCCAAGCAAATTCAATTCCCAAATTCTGAGTATCATGCTTATATATTTGTTTTATAATATGATATTGTAATAGAATGTTTTTGAGTTTTCAGTGTTTTTTTCAGCACCCGTCATTGACAAGCTTAGTCTGATTATGGCTGTGAATTAGTCATTATCCATAAAGGGGCCGGGGCGGAATCCGCCCCTTCGACTTTTTCCGCGATAGCCTTTAAAAAAGCGACCCGAGCTGTTATGACTTTTTAGCCTCGAGCCTTTGCGCATCGTTAGACACCAAAATTATAAAAATCGGACCAGGGGATGTCGCGCAGCAAAAATTTTCCGGCGCTACGCGCCGTGAAAACTGAATTTTCCCATATACGTCATCATGATCAGCAAAGTGTCATTTCGATACCCCCATTGTTTTAAATTTTGAGCCCCGATTCTAGGTCAAATCTGACCCGAATCCCGTGCGGTGAACCTTTGTTTCCCTTACTACAAATCCCGGTTACGCCACTGTCTCGAGGTTAATGTATACTTATGGAAAATAAATGGTGTACCGTTGCATTGAACACGGAATTCCTTCCGATGGATTAAAAGGACGTGGAGGGAGACGAAGCCATAATCCTCTCGTCTCGTGGGTCCTGTCTGCATGTCGCCATCGGGCGGGCTTGCAGGTCGGCAGGGCGTCCTTCCCAACTTTGTGTGATTTTCACATTGAGTAGCCGTACAAGTCGAGGCTAGGGTCGGAGAGGTCTAGCAACTCATTCTGCATATCCTTGGTCAGATTTTGACACTTCTTGACTATGGCTTGTGTTTCCGGTCTCCGAATTTGCCAGTTCTGCAACCTGCACATTCAGAAATAAACGATTGAACAGGAAATATATCAGCAAAATCGTATTATATTGTTGCAAACTTGCAATATGCGTTAGCTTTGGCACCAACACTTCAAGATCAGAGCTGTAGTGCGATATGAGGGGTATATAATTATCTACTTTGGACGCCATTTCTGTTCTAAGAATAGGCAAAAACTTCGTTCACAAGACTTCAAGGGAATCGTAATGGTTTTGACAGCATTGGTGAATTATTAGAAAAAAACAACGACTTTTCACAACAGTCCCATAGGGTTGGACCTGATGGCATCCAAATTTATAGTTGTCGCAACTCTCTTCTTTTACGGCTCTGAGCATTTCACAATCCGTGAGCCATCAGGCGTTTGTCTTGAAGACCTCGTGTTTCACTTGGATTGAAATGTTGCATATTCAGTACTCATTATTAATAACAATAATACTAATAATTTGGGGACTAATGATCATTACTCTCAGCTGAGAAGCTGAATTGCAAAGGACACAGCTTCAACGTGGTCGAGCCGCTGGCATGTAAAGGCGCCTTAGGTAGCTGCCAATACGACCCATGTCTGACCACGGAGCACAGCCAGATCGAAGTGTTATTTTTGCGGAGGCAGGAAAACCGGAGAACCCGGAGAAAAAAATGCCCGTGGCACAGGAGAGAATCTATTGCCATAGCTATGACCCGAATCGGGAATCGAAATCGGGCCACAGCGGTGAAAGACGAGCACTTTACGCATGAGCCATTCATGCCTCCTGATCCTGTCCTATTATACCTAATGCCACACACACGTAAACGGCAGATATTGAACGTCATGGGTGCGGACGCAGCAGACTTGATCTTTTGTTTCATTTTCCCCTTCCGTTTTGTTCCTCAAAATGGCAAGTTTTCATCTTCATTTTTGGTTTATCAATTGCTTTGGTTGGTGTCTTTTCCTGAAAGTATCTGTGTTCGACAAGAGTGCTTGTTTTCCAACCTAAATAGCCTATATGCATCAAATAACACAAATCGCTATATAAGGAACGCCCACAATGTAACCTTTAATAATAATCCTAGGTCAAAACCTCCCGGGTCAGATTTGACCTCGAATATGAGTTATATTTGGCTTGACCCTTTTCCGTATTAAAATGACCAAGAAAAAATGTTATTTTGACCCGAAAAACTGTCACTGTAATCCGGAAAATTTTTAGGTCGAATATAACCCAAATATCGGGTAATAACTGACCCAGGAGTTTTTAAAGTGCATGACTTACTCTAGTTTAAAGTCACGCAGTATCGGCACCTGCAGGTCTGCAATTCCAGAGTCTGCAAGAGGATGGACATGATCTTCTCCAGAAGCCAGACTACCTCCCTCGCGTGGTCCGATGACGACGTAAACACTCCACGGTGTCTGGTTGTTTGCCTCACGGGATTGCTTTGGTTCCCCCTGCTGGACGACAGAGGTTTGCGTACTCGCTGAAGGGGACACCAGGGGAGCAATATCATCCTGGGAGGGAAGATTGGGGTCGGAAAGGTATCAATAGCAAATACGAAGTGATTTAAGTAAGCTTGGTAAACCTTCCCTGATTTACTTCATGGATCCTGGTCTTGTCAATACAAGTCACACCAACGAAAGTCCGAATTATTCTGGAATGAGGGAGAATATTTCGCGACGGAAGGTTTCGCTACGCGAATTTGCAAAGTTGAACTCATTTCTTAGATCGTATGTCGAATTCGCCAGGCTTTGAAATTCACGTTTTTTAAAATGGTCTTCTTCAACCAGCGAATTTTACGTTGCGAAACGTTTGCTGGGAAATTCGCCAAATTTACAGCGAAATCCATCTTTTGAGAGTTCGCACCGTCAACACGGGCGTACAGATATTATTTTTGCTACGAACGCCTATTATTATGAATACGAACTACTTTAATATCTACATTTTTTTAACTATCAGCTTTATCAACTGAGTTAGAAGCTGGATCATGGAGGCGCCACTCACTTGGAACGGGGCCTTGAGATGAAAACTGGTTGCAGCTCTTAACTCAGATATGTCACTTTCAATGATGTCTGACTCCTCTCGACATCTTTCTCCCAACTGCAAAATAAACAATACTCAGATATTTGAATTGGCGGTCGTTCGGAAACATTTTACCAATTGACCTTTGCAGTATATAGGTATAATTAGCTGCATCTAGTTCTTTGGAACAGAAGTAAAATACAAATGACATAAAATGATGCTTCACTTACGTTTACATGTATCTATAACGGCAATATTTGTTGACCATTATGTTGGTATAACACAGGTTTCCCCGGTGACTTTAACACTTGTATATCATTCAAATTCAATGGAAAGATAATTTAATTTCTTTCCAGGACGTCGTTGGGCTCCGTGGTTGATTTCAATATCAAATGAACACTAATAGAGTTCATATTGGGTGCAGTTTAAATCACGAATGTAACAAGCTATTATTCTTCCTATATAAATTGTAGAAATTCGTCTCATGTGGAGATCGACGTTGAATTGAAAAGAAAAGAAAATAAAAGAGCAAATTTTTGTTTTGTGATTCATTTGAAATTCGATACTTGTATGTCTCGCATTGCACGGGAGGTGCATTAAGGACGAAAATAATGACATTAAGAAAATCATCCTAATCACATAAAATGTTCAATCGAGTTTCATTGCTCCTGGTAATGGAATGAAAACCTACGTTACCTTAGTTATAGCTAGTTCTTTGGCAGCAAAGTCAGATACCAGCGGGGTCAAGAATTGATCCACTTCGGCAATTCGCTGCCTGAAGGAATAGGCTGTGCTGTATTTGGATATAAAAGTAATCTTAAATTAGTCAATATGACACAAAGCACATTCTTTATATGGTGTCATGGCTAATGGAAAACCCACTTTGAGTTCTTAGAGTGCAATTTACGTATCCCATTTATAATTCAATGGGTCCAGCCGAATCCACTGTCTTATGACGACATATTTTACTTTTTAAATAAAGTTAAATGGGAAACTGACTAGGAGCAATTTGATAAGCTTAAAGAAGAACAAAGAAATTGACTGGAGGCTTGTAGGAACGAAGGGAAATACAATGCCTTGCCCTCAGACCATACTGTAAAATACGTATGTGTTTATGCCAAATTAATTCATTATAAAGTTTTCCCCCTCCTCTGGCCTGAAATATACCCGTATATGGGGGAAAACTAACTCTGTGCACATTGTACAACTGGAATGTACAGCTGAAATCCAAATGTTGTTTGTATCCTTGAGAAGATTGCAGCTTTGATAGTGTATTCAAATATCGCAACAGATATTACTGCAGATAGCAGACACGACGATGAACTACCTCAACTGTAATATCATCGTTCCACTGATGACCGTGAGTAATGTTTTCCACATGAAATATTTCAAAATATCATGCTTATACATGCAGTAAAATACAAAAATGGTATTGAGTATGATACTATAATTTCAACGAGGCATTACTCACCCGAACCATTTCATCGTCTCGGAATGTTTCTCCAGCCAATTAGTTTCACAGTGATCATGAACTAGAGAAATCATCTTGTGTAGCATGTCGTTAAATCTGATTCTGTAACAAAAAAGACATTCTATAGCAATGTCTATACCTAATGTTCCAAGTCCGATTTCTAGGTAGAACGTTACCTTCACAAAACAGCCTAAATCGATTCCTCGCGTTGCAAAAACTCAAACTTCCGAAGTTTGGTGAATGTATGATTAGGTTAGGTTAGGGTTAGGGGCCAGTAAAGCCAGGAACAAGACTTGAATATCTCACTATAAGGTAAAATTCTCGTAAATAGCTATTATAGCAATGTTTTTGATCGAAATGAGAAAACACAAGTCGATCTGTGATATTGCGAAGCTTACTTCTCCATCTTGTGTATTTGCTCAGCATTGAACGTGAGGGAAGTCTCCTTGCTGTCCCGGCAGAAATTGGAATAGATTTCCAGCTGCGCGAGCAACATGACATCAAAACGGTCCACGCTGTTAGGGATGTGAAAATCGAAAACATAATAGTTTAAATCAAACCTTACCGAACATTTCTTGGATAAATATCATCTAAGGGGTGCATAGGATCATTTGCTTTTTGTACAATCTCGGCGGTGGAAATTGCTCGAAATCGAAAGTAGGGTGAATGACAACAAACCCGTTGAAGCGTCAGCTAATAGTCAATAGTCAATTTGATGGGGGAAAAAAGAAAGTAACCACGCAATGCTTTTTTTGGGTCTCATATTGGATTCCGTTGTTAGCTCCTCAGATTCAAAGTTGCCGTTTGATATTTTGAACCGCACCCTCTTGTGTTCTGTCCCTAAATCCAAACTCGGGACATGATATTCAGCAGTGTGCCTCACGTCACAGTCCAGGTGCTAGTGGAACTGCCAATGTTCGCAGTTTTATTGTCATTTCCCCTCTTTTACCTCGGAAGTTCGTTTCCGTTACTTCGTGCATTTACAACGGGACAAATTTACAAAAGAAAGTATGCCGATGAAGAGCGAATGAATGTCGTTCAATCTGATAGGAAAACTAGAAATTTATAGTGGACAAGTGCTAACATACAGTAAACGGGAAACTGTTGAATGGTAGCTAATACCTTAACACTTGTACGGTCTGGCTAAGTACAGCTTAGTCATACGGAATTGTACTGATGTTTCAAATGGATATACTTGAGCTAATCTGGTACACAGGGCGGCTGCGTTACAAATGATTGATTTTGATACCTGCAGCCGATCAGGTTTGCTGCTGTATCAGACCTCCGAAAGTTAGGCAGTCAAGTGGTTAAAACGTGCGATTTGCAGAAGGTTGTGTGTTTAATGACCCGAGTTTCACAAACCTTCTCAACAAGCTGTCAAACAGCTAGTCGTAAATGGTACTTAAAGGCACATAAGATCATTTGCTTTTCATGTATTTTGTTCGTTACTAATAAACACGACAATTAAAATCGTCAAGTGAAAAACCAGGCACCACCTTTTGATCACGAAACACGATTTCGACGCAGCACTCGTCATTCCAAAAAACATAAATTGACTGGTCGTTGGAAATATTTCTTGATTTTTTTCTCTACATGACAGCAGGCCAAACAGAATAATTTCATGGGGGGTGTTTATACCAAAACGAGCGCTATTGAGAACTCAAGTGAGGGGCAAAACACCTTAATAAATTTATCGAAATTGTGCTTCTTCTTACCATTTGTCCCTCGGATGACACTGAAGCTGTTTATTCCACTCCTTCGTCAGAACATCTTGATCCACTATTTGACGGTGGAGTGACCTCAATTTCGGAGCCTCTTGTTCGAGTCGTAACGAAAGCTAAAGAGGAATCAAAGTCGATTTTCAAAATATCAAGTCCCATAGCAACGGGGGCGTGTCACAAAAGTCTGCCAAAAAGAGTTTTTCTCCGAATGGCCTTTTTTTTAACATTAACAGTCGACATTCTTACTTCTACATAAACTTTAATTTGCAGTAAATGGTACATTCTTCACTGTTCACTTGTCATATCGTACAAACACCCAATACATTTGAAAACCTCGTAAACAAACTTCATTATTCGAGCACCAAACTTCCAACTTTAACATGCGATCCTAAAAACAATACACTAAAAACCGCTATGCCTGTCATTGTGCAAAATGTATACTGTATGGACTTTTCCCCATAATGTTATGCCAAACAAAACAAATCTATGAAGAGTATCTAAACATGCTGACTCCACGCAGCCTGTTGCAAACTTGTTTCAGTTGAAACAAGGTTGTTACAGTTTATGAACGGATGGGGTACAAGGGCGGATCCAGAACACAATTTTGGAGGGGGCCAAAAAAAAATTTGGTCCCCTAAAAAAGTGGGTCACAAAAATTACGGCGTGGGGTTTGGGGCCCGCTTAAGGGCCCCGAAAAAAATTTGGATTCTAGATGCTCTGTGGTGCGATCTGAGGCAATTTCTGACCACTTTAACCAATGTTTTTTTTTTAGGAAAAGATGGTGGTGTACTCATTGCCTGCCTTTATTGCGATGTCACATGGCCCCCTTTGGCCCCCCCCCCCTGGATCCGCCCTTGATGGGGTATGCACTCTTTAGGTACCCGATCAGATTTCACTCGGAATCTGCGTCAGATTTGACCTCACACTTTTTAGGTCATGACCATTGGCCTTCTTGACCATTTCTCATAAAAAGTAGACTTGTTCTCCTCCAAAATGACACTTGGTTATGTGTGAAAATATGACATTTCCCGGTGAACTGCTCCAGAAAAAAGTGACTTAAAGTAGTGCCTATTTTGACCCCGAGGGAAATATCAGTTCAAATCTGATCCAGATTTAGGTCGTATCTGACTCAGGATACAAACAGTGTATGAAGCCATCACATTATAAATACCTGCCGGGTATTCCCAATTTGCAATGCAACCTCGTCCCCGACGATTACGAAGGCGTTTATCTTTTTGGCAAGCTCCGTCTTTTTCGCGCTGGCGATGTTTTGGTGTATAGCGCCCCAAAACGTCAGAATCGACTGGACTCGTGAGCGCATGCTCTCTAGTTCCGACGGCAATGTCTTGTTTTGGGTTTCCAGTTTATTCAAGTAGTATTGCAAGTGCTTCACTTCATCTTTGATTACATGACTGTTAGAGGATGGCGAAACAAAACGACAATTAGGATGACAGAAAAAGACATTAGTTTTCAGAAAAAGCCCATTTCTCCGAAACAATTACATTATAAGGGCCGGCGAAGTGAAGTGAGGAAGTGCTACCTCGATGAAGAACGGTAACTAACGATTAGGTTATATAAAAAAATCCGGTAATGAAGGTCTGGGAAAGGTGGTAAAAATATTGCTAAATAAGTTAGATATTGATGAAATGAGTTATATTATTTAGGTCTTATAAAAGTTACCTGCCCCTCCCAACCCCCCCCCCCCCCCCCCCCGTCCAGAAGAAGAAGAAGAAGAAACTCACGTGAAGGCCTTCACGGCTGCGTTCAGAAGTATCTGTATCAAAAGCAGCAGTTCTTGTTTTCGTTTGAGACAAAACAGTGCAGCGATGCTTCTCTAAAAAAAAACCACCCAAATCAATATCTCATACAGTTTATTGTAAATTACAAATATCGCGACTTGAGGTCTACTTCAGGCCAAAACATACTGTTGCATTAGACAATTGCAACAACAAAGTACAATTGACGCCCTAGAATTCCATTCAATCGGGGTGAAATCTCGCTTGAAGTAGTGCTTGAAAAACTGTTGCCTGAGAAACAGTAGGAATTACTCTAACTGTACATGCAGATTCCATGGTAACTTTTGACTTTTTGCAAGCTCATAATACTAACGTGATGACAAGTTGGCATGCTCTTGCGACGTAAATAAATTAAAGACATGGGAACAGTTTTGTATCCTGAAATTTAGAATTATCAACCGGCATCTGTGTATATTTTCGCCTGTCTATACTTAAAATCATCGGTGACGTCATTATTGGCAGGCAACCGACAGGCAAGTTACATATTTTTTGCCTACATCAAACAGTTTATGTCAACACTTTCAAATCACTTATGTTTCAATAGATATTCATGCAGTGCACAAGAGAACATGTTTGTTGGAAGTTAGCATCCTATAAACAGTTTGCCATTAAGTGATCACGACATCCATTTTTTAAACTCACCTTTGTCGCAGGTGCATCTGTGCTCAATGAATACCTAGATGGAACATCCGGTACGGTTGCTGTTTATAAACAAAAAAACACACACAAAACAAAAAACATGGCTTAAGTTTCATTTAGAGCTATAAACGGAGCATCCTACCTTGATGGCTGACCATGTCTGTCGTCGTTCCAACAGTCAAAGGAAAGTAGTAACTTTAACGAAGGAAAAAAGTTGCCTGAAATATCAATTCAAACGGCCTTCCTGTTATTAACGTACCTGCGTGAATTGAAAAACAATACGAGTTGTCGTTACTTGAATACATGCCGGCCTAATGTATTTGTCCAGAGCAATCATGTTTAGGACAAATAATGTTAAACTATTTGTTACCGAAACACATTCTGGCAAATGATGATGCCCTTAATTTCCAACAACGAGCGGATTCACATTTCTGGTAGACACTGACCGGATTTTCTTGAAATTGATACAGGTGCTCTAAAACTATTAACCAAAAAAATAAATTAAGAAAATAAAAATGACATTAAAAAACACATTCTGGCAAATGAATACGTCCGTTATATATGATATTCGTGTCAATATTGACCAGATGACACCAGTTTTAAAAGAAAGATCTTCAGCACTGAACTAGTTATTGGTATTTGTATCTTGTTTTGTTTTTAATTGGTATGTTATGGCCTTACGGATGACAGGGGCGACTGGCGAAACAGAGCCACCGAACGTCGACTTGAAAAGAAAGATGGGGTTGGCCGGCGTCGTCTCGGGGAAGTCTCGGCAGGGCACGTTGGATTCTGGGTAAAAGACGGCATCCTCGAAGATGTACACCTGGTGGACAGACTGTAACGACGTCTGTATGGCAATGCTCTCCTGAAACTCAGCAAACCTGCAGAAACATTGAGCCAGAAATAATGACCTTTTTTTTAGAGAAAAAGTCGTACTGAGTGATCAAATGGCGTAACTAACCTAGTAGTCAAGGTCTTTGTAGGTCTACTTCCAGAAGAAAAAAAATCATTATACCTGAAATCATAAACGTCAGATAGGCCCTATCTTTAAACTAACCCAACAACCAAATGACCTCGCTGTTGTTGAAGCTGTAAACTGAATGATACTGGTAAAGTAACATTACTATATCTAAAGAGAAAAAAGGGTGAACTGTACGTGTATCATTACATTTTAACCTTTCTTCCTGAAGTATGCGTAACAAATACATTAATTTACAATATTTGTCATATTGCTAATAACGAGGAATATTCTCAGTATGGTGTGTTAAACGTGGCATAAAATATTTCATTGCTAAAGTTCTGCTAAAACTGAGTGAGCAAAAAAGTCACATTTTAATTAGTACACCGAGTGGCTGATGGGAAATGCAAATGACTTAAAGTAGGTCTTTAGATTCAGAGTTCTACGTGTTCACCTTGCGTACATAGCGAAAATGTTCAGGTCCAGTTAAAAGTCTAGGTCGAATCGTGGCGGTATATTCCAGCCTTGGTTGTATTATGGTGGATAATCTTAACATTTCTTCATGAAAGATCGAAGATTGGTTTGGGCACTCTCAGACAGTTAGGTCACAGAACTTGAAGTGGCTTTTAAAATACGAACGTCATGCAGGGCTAAAGCAAACCATGATATACAAATTCAGCAAATTATAATTTTCTTTTTGAGCCGACAATTTTTGTGTGTTTTAGACCTAGAACACGCGTATCGAAACGTTTCAAACTAATTGCAAGGTGCATGTCGTTCAACCAATCAGTGTCTTTCTTTCAGTTTACTTCATTAAAGGAAGCATGCAATTGTTCTTACGAATGTGTTGGATCAATGTATATTTTGAGGAGCTGTGACGTCACAGTGTAGAACACATCCAGGACAGTCATATTAACGATGGCCTGACAGGTGTCAAAAAAGGTCTTGAAGGACCAAATTCTGGTCACGTCACTTTCGAGTAGACCAGCCAGCATTTCTTCCACATGAAAGCGAAGACCTCTGCGTGACACAAAATAATAATAATAACAAATTACGAAATTAGTAAAGGTTGACCTCAATTATTCGGTTACAACTCATCATTGTGCACACCTGATTATGTACAAAGTTTCACATTTGACCCGACCCTCTGCTGGATCGATATGACAATGTTGAGTCAAACTGACATTTTTTTCTGGGTCGAAATGACAATTTTCCGGGTCAAATGGACCGCAAATGTGAATCAGGAAAGTGTCATTTTGACCCAAAAATGTGTCATGCCAAATTTGACCCGAATATTGGTTGAATCTGACTCGAAACTTTTAAGAGTGTCGGTAAAATGGTCCGACCAATTTTCTTTTCGACCTAAAGAAATCGAAAATTCGTGATTCCTTTCCAGAAGCGTTTCACTTGCAATTTAGATAAGCAAAATGCTCTCGACTCGTGTTTTGCAATAAGGAGAAATACATAAGCAATCGCAACTGACGCAGAATCACTTTAAAAATTGACCAAAGCTGTGCCGGTATTCTGAGCCAGTTGAAGCATCAAACACCGCACTGCTTGTTTCTTCTCCAAGTGTTCAAAAATACTACTTTTATTGTTGTAAAACGTCGTGTACTAAAAACACTGTAGTTCAGTGTAAATTTGACACCGGAAATATGGACCACAGGAGAGAAAAATGACAACAGTGATCCAATATAGATACCACAGGTGTAAATCTAACACGGCTGTTTGAGCAGCTCAATTGGACAACAGAAATCAAAACCATCTCTTCTTGGTAAAAAGGTAAGAAACGTAACGAGAAAACGGCGTGTATAAGAAAAACGGGAGTAAGTAGGTCAGTAGGGTCGTCATCTGGTGCCTGCCAAGAAAAAAGTAAGTCAGTGAGTCAGTCAGTGAAATAGGTCAAAAGTAGGCTAGCTCACCCGGACCAACAAGGTGAAATATTTTGGCCAAGGTAAGGCTGAAGGAAGTCTATTTCGCAACTGCAGAGTGAGTCAGTGAGACAGTCAGTCAGTCAGTAGGCCTAAGTCAGTCAAATACAAAGAGGACTATAGACTGGCCCTCACTTGCACCAGCCAAAACTATTTATAACTGAGATAGCTACTGACTGTGAGAGCTGCGTCGTCTTGGGTAACTCTCTACTCCAGTCGATCGGTGCATTTTCCGACTTTCTCTGAACTCCCGAAATAATTCCTGACGCTTTCAGGGTCGTCATCTGGTGCCTGCCAAGAAAAAAGAATTCATTGTAATAACTTCCTTTTGTTTTCTTAAAACACATTTATTTAAAGGATGAAATGTGCGTCATGGATATGTAAATTCAATATTGAGTTTTGTCCTTTGTCGAAGCCACCACTTCGTGTGCAATAGTAAGCAGAAGGTCGTGGGTTCCAGCCCCGCCCGAGTAAGCTTTTGAATTTCTTTTTCTCGCAAGCCCTCGTACATGAAAAACTGCGTACACAAAATGGTACAAATCCTAAGCAATCAGCTCCATCATTCCAAATAACATGTAAATTGCTATACAGGCAGCTAAAGAATAATTTATGAAGAGTCCTGTCGCTCTTTTACCTACAAAGGACTGCATTATTTTGTATCAAGGTAACTTAGCTCAACTGACTTCATCAGAACAATTGGCATACGCTCAAATTATATTAATCAATGCTGATCAAAGCCTGTGCCTGAAATGACATCACTATATTACTCATGAATTCGCATGAAAAAAAAAAACCAAACACTTAATAAGTCATAAGAACTAAAAATTTGACATGAAAATCACGGGACACGAAGATACATTTAAAGATTGTAAAATAAAAGAAAAGCATTCATAGCATAAGTTCTTTAATTAGTATCCTTCGTTTATCGAATTATATGCTATTCAATAAATTGTATTAATAACAACAGACATTCCGCGAACTAACATTCTCTCATTTTCAGTCACTTGCAAAATTATAATTTTTCGCTGGTTTTTGACAAAATGACTCACATTGTGGACCGGTTCCGTCTTCCCCCGTATGGTCTGAAGGGGAGCACCCCCGTGGCGGCGTGATAAAGCGTCACGCCTATGCTCCAAAGGTCTACGGAGGCCGTGAACGGCCTTACGAGTGGTTTCCGAAGGACGGCCCGCTCGTACACATCCGGGTGCTGCAAGATACAACGGGAAAGAATGGGTTGATTAGTGGGTATCGTACGCCATCGGATTTTTTTCTCTCGTAGCATTGCCATAATGACATCTTCACGATACGGATCCTGGAGCGGTGTACTACGAAATTTGGATTCTATGAAATATGCATTTATACGTTGTTTTGCGCATGCCTATTTGTGAGGGTTAGATTCCATATAATGTTAAAGAGACCAGATTTATAGAAGTCAACATTTCATATGATCTGTTGGCTTGTACCGACCGCCTTATTTAAACAAATGCACTGGTTTTGCCTAAATTTATCTGAGGTCTCATTTGATAGAATTTTGTTTAACCGGTGACCTCGGGGTCAACACCTACGTGTGCACTACACCGATGTGCCCAGAACACAGGATTTTGACCTTGGTGACAACTACCCTAAATGTTCCCTCGGCCACGAGTGGGTGTCAGGGAACTGGATTTAAAACCGAGATCATGAGTTTATAACAATTCTTTTAACACATTTTGCTGGTCCCGGAAGAGCCAGCCTAAGATCCTCTTTGTGTCTGACTCACTGACCTTCTTCTTTTGTGTCGTGAAATAAATTCTCGAACAATTCATATTAAGGAAACAATGAAGGAAGGAAGTTATACGCGTGTATTATGTTAATTCCTGATAGTGTTTCTATTTCAAGGCAACCGGGATAACGTAGTAATCAGTAAAGGAAAAACACGGATGATTACTAAACTCCAACTGAAAATAGGATTTCAATGCTCACCAAGTATTCCTCAGTCCCATATATGCTGACAAAGTTCTCGCCCTCTGCGAGTTCACGAGCCGCTCCAAAGTCAGCCAGCTTGTACACAGAACAGCCGTCGGGTTCGTAACAGCACATGATGTTGCCCGGCTTGAGGTCACGATGCACTATTCCTTTGTCTTGAAGATGTTTCATGCCCTGACCTAGAAGATTATGAAATGTAATGGATTTTTTTGTAAGCAAACCACAATCCAAGAAATCTGCCTTGACCCGTTCAAATTTCTCAATTCGCTCTATAAAAGGCCGGTTAGTTCATGTGAATGCGAATGTGAGCAGATTTGAATTCATAAAACATCCGCTGAAATTTGTTTAATTTCTGCGTTTTCGCTGCTCGAACATTTGACGACACAAATTACGCCTGAGTATGTACTGGTCGCATTAAGCCAGCAACATAATATGCACACGCCCTAGTATTTTAAAACTCAGTTATATTTATCTCAATAACTCATTTAATTGAAAAAAAGTTCGTCTTTTTTGTTTATTCAAATTAATAACGCAAACACGAATGAACGAAGAAAAGGCATAAATGATACACGTTTCAACATATTTTGAAACAGAGCTTTTGCACTTGGTAGATTCGTGATTATACCTGTACAGTTTTAAGGAGGTTGCAGATTTAAAGCCCGCTCCATTCTATTTCCTTGTTCAACTTCTAAATATTTTAGCGCAAGAACAGAAGTTGTGCACTAATCATTTTAACAGTGCTTGCACGCATGCGCAGTGCGTTGCTAACCTGCAAAATGCACCATAGAAAAGCTGCTACAGGGATTTTTTTTCGCTGAGGGCAGCAGAGTTGTGAAATTGGGCCAAGCCAACTGATCACGCCATTTTTGCTGTTGTTAACCGTAAAACTCTCCCTAGGTCAATGCACAATAACACTGACCTCACTGAGTCGCTCAACAAAAACCAGGAAACGAAAATAAATACTCTGTACATGTATAGCACCGTACTCTCATTTGCCAATTCAATTTTCCGACAGAAATAAAAGAAAAACAAACCAAACACCTATTTTACAAACGATCACCCGACCGCCCGCATTGTCCAATCATGGTGCTTCATGATCCAGTGTTCGCTAATCCTAAATCCCGAGATTGCTGATAAGAATCCCCAAAAGACAAACATGTCATTTCTATTTTTATAGGAGAGTTTTACAATTGTTCGAGCTCAACCAATGTGTTTGCTTTCCATCCCAGCTTCACATCGAATACTTACCCATGCTATAAGCAAAAAGTTTTAGTTAAAGTTGGAAATTGCACGGAAATCTATGTAGAAATGTCTGTATAAGTCAATTGGTAGTATTAGTGGCAAATCTAAAAGTTATCATCGAGTCGTGACATATAAGAACAAAAATCCATCAAAAAAGTGAGGAATCAAAGAATATACGATCTTCCCTGCGACTAATGAGATCAACTTACTAACGTCCCGGAGAAGGATCTTGAATTCCGTCTCGGCCAAACCAAAGGAGTTCTCAGGTTTGTCCAAGACATTAAAGAGGCTACCGCCCTCACACAGCTCCATAATGATAACCCGGTCATGGGAACTAGACTGCAAGATCAAAACCACAAAAAGAAGGGTTTTTGGATGTAAAAAGAAAATGTGACTGATATCTATGAAAGACGGTTCTTATACAATTAGTTAACTGAAAACATATCGGAAACAAACCATGTACTGATACAATAAGACTTATAGCTCGATAGTAAAAATTGGTATATCTGTGTTAATGAATCAATCAAAGAACCTTTTTTTCAATTTCAAATCCAGCATTCTGATTAGATAAAACAGGACATCGTCCATAGCCCATAATGGTGAAATAGCGTGGAAAGGTGTCCCTTTATGTCGTTCATAAGCTATGCCAAATTCAAGTTGTAACTGCATATACACTCGTTGTGAATGTCCAGGTCAACGGTGAAGGAGCACTAGAGCAGTCTATCGTGAGTCATGTCACAAGTCAATAACGAGCAAATCATTAGTCAAATCACAAGTTGGGGTTGGTGTCATGCACGAAACAGGGAGTACACAATAACACAAGGACAAAGCACTTATACTGTCACAATTTATATATATAAACGGTGACAGTATCAGTGCTTTGCGAATTTCAAATTGCAATTGAAACTGAAGACGTTGCGGACTTTTTCTTGTCAAATCCTCCCAACAACAAACAGCAATGAGGCCATCGGTTTCAGTGGCAATTTGAAATCACGCCTGCAATTGATAAGAGAACCTATAAGGACTTCAGTACAGAGAGATATGAACTTACATCCTCCTCGATGGCGAGCAGTTTCACAATGTTCGGGTGTTTGAGCTTAAGGAGAACATCGAACTCCCTGTGCTGCACGCTACCGGGTCTCCGATAACTCTCATTGTTGAAAACCTTCACAGCTACCCTCTCGCCAGATTTCTGATAAAAAAATTAGATAAATGAAAATAATGTTTGCGTGTTTACACGCACGTTGACGTATTGGAGCTTGAAGAAGTTCCACGCCTTACCCTATTTAAAAACTGGAAACAGGTACAAAATAGGGCTGCAAAGTGGCAAAGAATATAACTGTGTCTGATTGATCATTAAAGGTCCGATGCTGGCAACATTATTACACTTGTCAACTTGAAGAACCACTTAACTCAAGAACCAATCAACTTACCTTTTCTCTGCCACCAAATACATTGCCTGTAGCGCCTTCTCCCTTCTTATCGTCCGTGTAGTAGATGTACGACTGCGTGCTCCGCAATTGCTTGGGTTCTCTCTTTGTGGTTATATGATAGCGGCCGAACATATCCTATTAACGTAACATACCTCAATTTCAGCCAAAATGGTACTAACCAAAACGTCACTCTGCACAATCGTAACAAAAAAAATCCGCGTACCTTGTACCATACTTGTACTTCTGTTAAATAGTGATAAAGAGTCACGATCTGATGTGTCAGAGTTCCCCGAAAATAGTACGTTCATTAACAGCTAGGTTCTTTTGTTTACGAGGATCGTTATAGTTTATCTGTTCATGATAAACAGGATCAGGACGACTGTTCCCTTGGTGCAGGTATATCGACGATATTACGACTTGTTATTCCAACATATGCAATAATGCGGAAGTGAATTTAAATCACACCATGTCTGACAATTATGCAAAGTTAACCGAGTTGAACTTCACAAAGGTGTGTTTGTATTTTGTCACGCAAACAAAATTGGGGAATTTCTTCGCAGTGTCCTCGCAGGATACCAGCGTCTATGAATCTGAGCATATCTGGCAATTATTATGCAAAATAACACTGCGTCGTTGACCTCGAGATTCTGATCATGGACAGGCAAATCGCATAGCAAAGGCATTCGTACTTTGCTCTATTTTTGCACGAATATTGAACAGACACAACAAAGTTCACACAAGTTGCCAGAACACACAAAAGTAAATCTCATGTATTCATAAAAAGAATTCAACCGTGAGTAAAGGTTTGCCATGTACACAACAAGTACTTTTTGCTCCTATAGGACGTGCATGCAGAGAGACCTGTCAGACCTGTCTAGCTTGTTATCAGTTTTGAAAGTTTTGATAAGAGAACCAGACAGTATGATAATTGAATTTTAGACGATCGCATTTCAAGCAGTACTTATAAGGTTTTATTTCAAACGGTTTAAAGGGTTATATTTACAGCACCGACTGCACAGCACGTTTTGCACACAATACCGATACCATCTATAGCGCTGCGAATTTTGAAACTCGGAAGGCGTTTAAGCCGAAGTGCATACTGAGTTTACTTACACATGTGATACTTGTGACTATGATCACCTTATAGCAAGACAGCCCCATACATGTGCCTGAAATACCGGATTTACTCAGTATTACGAGCTTGCTAAAAGTTAAAACGCCCCCCTTCGTAAAAAGCTAGTCATTTCGCACAAACGCTACCCAAATCTCCCCAGACAATTACAGGACAGCTAGACGACTAGAGGTATATCTTCCCTGCTATTAACCAGGTAACAAGTTTCGAATTCTTTCGATTTCGAACACAAACTTTCACAAAAGTTAGTACACATTGCTGTGTGACTCACAACATAATGAAGTTCAGTATTTTAGACACATTTTATAGGCAAAAAGCAACATTAATCAAGAAGGTGGATGAGTGATTTTCTTTATGCTTCCTAATTTTTAACCTTTACAATTTTGGATGAAATATCAAATAAATGGGCCACTATAATAAAACAGCATGTGTCCTTTTTGTCCTGTCCCTGTCCTGATTCCAGTGATGATAGAAAAGCCACAACGGAATGGAGTGACATCTTATCGCACTCTGATTTAACTTACTTTTTAAGAACTTTGTCGCACTAGCGCTGGTCCCGCACACATGTACTGCTTGGTTTTTGGAAATAGTCAAGGATTTTACGAACAGTGCATGGCGATGCTTATTTTGCATATTAGATAATTGTTCACCTGCATAAAGAAATCAACTTGTGTTTTCTGGACCTGAATGCATATCTCTGTGTCTTTATGCAATATTTTTAATCCTCACGAAAAAAATATGTGTGTTTTTTTTCTACTTCTGGATTGGGCTTAGCAAGAAAAGAGAAGACAGTGCGACAGCTGCCTAATTTTAATGCTCAGCCTCAATGGACCGTTTCGCAGCGTTGGAAATGGAGGACATGGATATCGACACAAGATGCAGCCATCTTACAAGTGTACTGACGGAAAAAGCATTAAATTTTTACCAAAAACTTTATACTTCAACAAAATCCTACGTTAAGAGGAGACAAAAGGAAACAACAGGAAATGAATTACCTCCTATACTACCAACAGAAGAAGAAGAGGCCATAAGCCAAATGAAGGAAAACAAGGCACCAGGACTTGACAAAATAACAAGCGACATCATGAAAGCAGAAAGGGAGGAGACAGTGAAGCAGTTAACAAAGTTGTTCAACCAGATATTGCAAGAAAAGAAAATTCAAAGCAGATGGAAAGAGACCAAAGTAATCCTTCTGCATAAAAAGATGACAAGACAGATATGAAAAATTATCGACCAATCAGCCTATTATCACACACGTACAAAATATTCACCAGGGTGATACAGAACAGACTATATGATATCTTGGATAAAAATGAGTATCAGCTCAACCTTGGCCTCGGTTTTATCGACTATCAGAAAGCCTTTGACTCCATTGAGCATAGCGACCTGTTTGACGGGCTGAGACAAGTGGGAATTGATGAGGGATACATCAGCATCCTGGAGGACATTTACACCGACACTACTGCTAAAATGCACATAGATAGTGATGTCTCAAAAGAAGTGAGGATAGAGAGAGGTGTCAGACAAGGAGATACACTATCCCCAAAGATCTTTACATTAACACTGGAGGAGGTATTTAAGAAATCCAACCTAGAGGAGAAGGGGATCAACATAGATGGAGAACAGCTCACTGATCTAAGATTTGAACGATGCAGTTCTGACCTCATTTAAAGACATGGAACATCAGCTACACAGGCTTACCCAGCAGGCACCGACCGTCAGACTGACGTTGTATAATGGTTGTTTTATGGTCGCAACGTCGGATCAACCATACATAACCGAAAATCAACGTTGTTTTAGTCGACCAAAAGACGACGTTGTCATTATAACGTCCGCCAGACGTTGCTTTAGTGTCGACAATTTAACGTCAGAATTTTACGTAACAACAACGTCGAAATATAGTTGGAATTTGGTCGGGAATATTACCAAACGTAATTTCAACCATGGTATGACGTTGTTTTGTCAACGTCTATACAACGGACTGAAAAACAACGTTGTATTATTGTTATTTTTGCGTTTGCCTTCGCGACGTCGCAATTATGTCATGTTTTCAACCAAGATATGACGTTTGCTTTCTAACGTCGTTTCAACAACTCAAAAAACGACGTTGAATTGTGGTTGGCCGTCGGTTATAATATCCGACGTCGTACTTATGTCATGCTTTTGACTAAAATGCAACGTCCGTTTTTGACGTTTTTTCAACGACTCAAAAAGTGACGTTGAATTATGGTCGGCTGTCGGTTATAATATATGACGTCGTTATTTGGTCATGTTTTTAACCATTATTTTACGTCCGTTTTCTAACGTCGTGTCAACGAATCAAATAATGACGTTGACTTCCGGTCGTTTGATGGTTAAAATATTTGAACGTCATTATTAAGTCACGGTTTTACCCAAACTATAACGTCAGTTCTCTGACGTCTTTTCAGCGACTCAAAAATGACGTTGGATTATGGTCAGACGCTGGTTATAATATTTGACGTCATTTTTAAGTCATGTTTTCAACCATGATATTACGTTCGTTTTCTAACGTCGTTCAAATGACTCAAAATCGACGTTGTTTTGTGGTTGGCTGTTGGTTATAATAACTGACGTCGTACTTATGTCATGCTTTAAACCAAAACACAACGTCCATTATCTGACGTCATTTCAACATCTTAAAAAGCGACGTTGAATAGTGGTCGGCTGCTAGTTATAATATTTGACGTCGTTATTAAGTCATGTTTTCAACCATGATATTACGTCTGTTTTCTAACGTCATTTCAACGAATCAATTAACGACGTTGATTTCTGGTCAGTGGATGGTTACAATATCGTTATGTCATGGTTTAACCCAAAATATAACGTCCGTTTTCTGACGGTCTTTTCAGCAACTCAAAAATGACGTTGAATTGTGGTCGGCTGTTGGTTATTTACATTACGTCGATAGTGTGTCATGGTTTCGACCAAAATATAACGTCCGTTTTTCACTTAATAAAATAAAAAAGTCATTAAAGAATGCATGTGCAACGTCGTAATTCCCAAACGAAATTATCGGACGCCTTATTAATTTGAACGACTAAAAAAGACGTTGAATTGTGGTCAGCTAGCTGATGGTTATAAAATTGATGTCCGGTCTGCAGTTTCATCATTGTTTCAACCAAAATATATCGCCCGTTTTGACGACTTTTTCACTTAGCTGCGGCGCGCGCCAATTATAATTGTCTTGGCCCAGAGCCAAGTGCCGCGCGCGCGAAAACCGTATAGCCCAAGCGTATTACACGTAAGCATATGTATGCCCTGTGTGTGACCTCTTGCATTCCAACGAACTCCACTACTGTACGACTCTGGCCAGTTTGAATATCCGTTAAAACAACAGTCACAACTGAAGCAGCTTTGGGAAGAGACATATTGGCCCAAAATGAACAAGTTTTGTGCACCTTTCAACAAGATTTCAAGTCAAGATTTGGTTCTGCAATGGAGTACTGTTAACATTAGAGATGTTCCCAACCCCGATCCTAACTTCAAGTCAAGATACGACACCAAGATGTATAGGACAAGCACAAGTCAAGATTTCGATTGAACCGCAATCAAGATGATCTGATTTTGCAATGTCTGAAAATGGTAAGTTTCAAACGTGAATGTTTCCGAGTTAGAGATTTGCAATTTCTTTGAAGGTCAATAGTTGGAAATTGTATCTCTATTATATCTTTATTATGTTCCCTATCAGTCATGTCAGTTGTAACATTAAAATTCCATGGAAAGTACCTTAACTTCACTGTAGAAAGTTGTTAATGTTAGACTAGACATGTTGGATGCTATTGTCATTTCATATTTTAAAAACAAAGTTACACTAACGGTGCCCTTTATTTAAACATTGAAGAAGTAGAAAATCCTAACTAATCAGCAGTCATGCATGTTCTGCCCGCTTTCCATCATCATGTCCAATCTTTATTTAGCCCTAGGAAAAATGAGGTCATTTTAAAGTATATCTCAACATGAGACAAGTTTCCCACACGTACTG